AAAAATAACAACACTTTGTCAGGACCATGAGGCGATCATTCCTACCAACTTTCAGTTCAATCGGCCCAGCAGAACTTGACTTTAAGTTTGAAATGTAAAATGTTAATGGACGACGGACGACGACGGACGAAAACGGATAGCAATAGGTCACTTGAGCTAAAGCTCAGGTGACCTAAAAACGAAAATGGGACTTTGAATGAATTTTAATCATAAATTCTGATATTTTGCCTGTAGCTTTATTTTAGATCACTTTTAAGGTTACAAGTGTGAGATTTATACCAGGTGAGCGATGCAGGCCCATTGGGCCTCTTGTTCAAATGCAACAGCATGAATTACATAGATACTCCTGTTGCAGTAGAGATTTAAAATATAGTAGATATTTGTATAATGATTGAAATCAAAAGTGATAACCTTGAGAAAGTTTACCTGTGTTGTGCATCAAGTCTTTTAGAAAAAGACTAGCTTGTTGAAATCAGTATCTTTAATACAAGCTCGAGGAATCACTTTTCAGTTATTTGATATAAAGGATCTCATGAATGTTCTTTTTCGAATGAATTTTAGTTGATATTACTGCACTCAAGCCACCTTTAGATAGTGGAGATCATGAGTAAGCTAGTAAATGTAATGATTAATTTGACCATACATGTACTTCATCAGCTCGCCACCATTAGGCTTATGTACAGTTGTAAATGTTGTTAATTTGTGTGTGGTTTTATTTTCAAATAAAAGATAAATAATATTACACTGAAGTTTATAGAATATTTGATGTTGCCTGTGCATTACCCAAATTTATTAAGTAAAAAGTGGTAATGTGGTCAAGCGGATTTCTGGTTGGAAAAGGGGCACAAATCATAGTGTTGTGTTAAATAACACAAACAGAAAAATGCTATTGTTTATTTTCAAAAATTTAGTTACCCATACTTATATACCAATATAATATTTCTCCTTCATGCAATATCTTCTGTTAATAACAGGCAAAAGACTGAAAAGTTTTAAAAAAAAACACAATCAATCAGTTTCAGAATATGTTGTACGATACTTTTTTCATGTTTACTAAGTTTTTGATCAGCGTTACTCACATTAATTGACGAGACGGTTCCTATCTTATATTGTTTATCTTATTTTACATTATGTATAAATGATATAGAGTTCACTCTTTTGAAATCCTAATTAATATCATATCCCACATTACTGATAAAAACCATTGACAGTTCACTTTCTAATGCAACTAAAATGATAAACTTTGTTTCTGTTGTACATGTATATTGTTAATCTTGTGAAATATTGTTATACTGTTATATAGTCAATATTTAGTAAAGCAATTTATTTCCTGATTATAATAATTTGATCTGTCACTGGCAGCAAATGATTGAAATCATTTAGAATATCATACCAAATTTCCTTAATATAATCTCAAGTCTGAAATGAAATTGTGTAAAAAGTTTAAGTCCAATTTCCTCACATGTCCAATGTCCTTTATTACTTCAGTCCAGTTCCTCACATGAGCTTTTTCATATAAGTCTCAATTCCTCACATATTTGGAATCAAAGTCTAGATTCCTCATATGCTCTGAAATCAAAGTCTGAATTCCTCACATGAGCTTTTGAAACCTGCTACATACAACATATACCTACAGTGGCAAATCATGTTTGAATCCTAAGACTAAAAGCTCATGTGAGCTTTTTCCTCACATGAGGAATCAATAGCACATGTGGAAATCAGGTGAGGAAATTCATTCCTACCTTAAGCTAACATAAAGCTCATGTGCAAAACAAAGGAAGGGTGTCTATAAGGCCCGTTTTTGGGCCCCGGTTTATTCAGATTTTCACCTCCTTATTTCGTTTAAAGATGTCCTATTTTGTGACATGCGGAAAAACTAAGGTAAAACTTTGACTGAAAGTGGGTTTCTGGTGGTACCAAAAGGGGTATTGTAAATCACAAATATAGTTTGCTGTTTTCAAAATGAGCTTAAAAACCAAATATTGCCATTTCTGTTTTTGAAAACATGTATAAATTAGACAAGCATATATAAGAGAAGGAAAAATGACAGAAATTCAATCGTCACTTAAAGATTGTTTATATAAAACGAAGGATTACGTCAGGGGGGTCTTTTCGGGCATTTTCAATTGAAAAGTAATTTGTTTTCTCAATAATTTCCTTTCTAATTAATATTTTGACTTGAAATTTACAACTTCACTCATTTAAGTAGACTTACATAAATTGCATATTGACTTCATACTTTCCTTTTGTTTTATACTGAGTTATGGCTTCTGGACACATCTCAAACTTGGCTTTTTCAAATATCTCTCAATTTTAAGTGAATTAAAAGGAGCATGACACCCTTTATATGCTATAAGTATAAGATATCAATTGTTAGTATTGCATGATATATATATCATATAATATTTGCTCAACACCTGTGGCTGAAGTGAGTTCCAGGTCCTGATTTGGTTTTTTTACTTATCAAAGTTAACTTACGAATCAAAAATGGCATTTGCCACCACAACTACTGTAAAATGATTGATTTAATATATGAAGTTTGATTTGCTGGTAATTTTAAGTCTCCTAGCCTCAAGGAAAGTATCTGCTTAAATCATTAAAGTTAACCGATTTCATTGTTTTATCAAATGTTCTGCCTATTTCCAATGTTTATCCGCTGATTGTACATAAAAGGCATTTGGGAATAAGCATGTAACTTGACATAGAATTTAGTTATATGATGATATTTAATTTGTGAAAGTTTCATACTTATCCCACAATGCCTTTTTACTTCAAAACACATTTTCCTGTGATTTAGAATACAAGGACCAAAGTGCATCTCCTTGCCTAACACTAAATATTTCCTGACAATACTAGTCTATATGAATGTATGTAGATAAAACAGGCTCAGTAGAGTATTTATAGTAGTAAGAGGGGCATTTGACATGCTACACTGACCAAAAGTCAGATAGTTTATGCTTTGAAAATGCAAAGAGAGATTTAGTTGTTCGTTCAAGTTAATGCTTGCAATTAACAGTTAATTTGTTGTTTACATGACTTGATCAAACAGATAAGAAGAGAAAAGATCAAACTCACATAAACCAATGAAGATGGTACAATGGTGGGGGCCAAGATCCCTCTGGGATCTCTTGTTTCACAAAGTAGAATCATGTCTGCAAGCTAGCACACTGTCGGAGTAGGCTAGAGGATCTTAATCGATATTAATGACTTGTATGCCTGAAGGCTAATGTCAACTTTGCATCTGCACCACGAGATGAGATGAAAAAAAACCACTTTACTTGTGTCGTGTAAGATACAATGTACATTATTAGCTCACCAGCCGGAAGTGCAAGTCAGCTTATGCCATGGTGCGTCGTCCGTCTGTCCGGCATCAACTTTTTATTAGCTTACCTGGCCCTTGGCAAAGTGAGTTTATGCCATGGCCCAGCGTCCAGCGTCAATATTTTACTTCTTCTTCATAACCAAAAGGCCTAGGGTGATGATATTTGACCAGAAGCAAACTGGGATTAAGGGCTACCAAGTTTGTTCAAATGAATGACCTTCACTCACATTCAGGGTCACAGGAGTCAATTGTCTTAAAATCTTTAAACGACTGCTTCTGAATAACCCAAATGCCCAGGAAGATATCTGGCCAGTAGTGTGCTATGATGAGGGGCTACTACGTTTGTTCAAACGAATGACCTTGACCAGTATTCTAGGTGACAGGGGCCAAATGTGTTCAAAATCTTTAAACGACTTCTTTTGAAAAACCAAAAGGCCCAGGATAATGATATATGGCCAATAGCATGCTAGGATCAGGGGCTACCGAGTTTGTTTAAATGAATGACCTTGACCTGTATTCAAGGTTACAAGGGTCAAATATATTTAATATCTTTAAACGACTTCTGACTAGCCAAAAGGCCAAGGATGACGATATCTGGCCAGTAGCATGCTATTATGCGGGGCTACCAAGTTTGTTCAAACAAATGACCTTGAAGTATATTCAACAAGGTCCTTTGGACCAGGTGAGCTAAAAATGTAGTAGAAAATCTCCGGACAAAAAATCAAATACTGAAATAAATGGTCAAATCACAATTCTTTTAAGGGAGACACAACCTCATATCATGATTATAATATATACCAAGTTTCAAAGAGATCAGTCAAAAAATGTAGGAGATTGCCGGACAAACATAAGTTTACGCCGGATGGATGGAAAACCCCATACCATAATACTTTCGTCAAATTTGACGGCGTATTAAAAGGCCTAGTATGGTATTTGACCGGTGCGATATATCCTTATCTCACCCTAGAGTTTAGACGGGGGGATTCCCCTATTCATAACAATGGTATGACGTCACGTCAACAATCCATCAACATCACATTAATCCTGAATTTAGGCTGTAACGTTAAAATTAAATTATGCATATGATACACAATGGGTGAACAGTGTAAGAGAAAAAGAATCATTCACCCCCTTGAGGGTGAAATATTCTATTAATCTATTGAGATTACACCGATCGGGCCAAGCAACATATGTTTTGTTTATAAAAAGCATTGAACTACTTAAAATGTCAACATTATTGATTGACTGGACAGAAAAACAAACAACAGATTTTTTTTACAATTTACACATTTAATACAATCACTACATTCTCACTTCGTTATGCAATGAAATATTATTTTGGACAATTTCGAAATATTTGATGGACCTCTCTTTTAAAGTGCATCTTTAATTTTCAACAGGAAACAGTCAACCATCAATCAATCATCACACAGACCCACAATAAATTCTGAGAGTAATTTTAGTACACTACATGATAAAATCTTGGATGCTGATTGGACCTGATACACAATATTACCCACTCCTTGCAACCATCATTTTTATTACTTTCTGCCAGTAGATGGTGCTCTCATCAATAAAAGATAACATGGCCATCATAAGTGCTACCACGTGATTTATTTTTGTTAATATACTGAATTCAATTGTCATCCCAATCACCGATTCGTAACGCCGATTGAAATTCAAGAACAGAAGATAAATAAGTATATAGAACAAATTTAATTGTGTCTACAAAAACATACACAACATAATACATGAAAAGGTATTTGAAATGCTGACATTTGTTCTCCAGGATTCATTCAGGAGTTTTACTAGGAAATTCAAGGCTATTTGGGCCCTTTTCAGTAAAAGTTAAGGCCTAAAAATCTGCTGCCATTTGCAAATTCTCAAAATACAGAGTTCTGGAAGCATAACTTGGATGTCTCTTAACTTGCCATATAACCATCAAACAATGTCTAACACTGGCTGGTTAGTCCGAAAATCGTATTAAAACAAATATTTCATTTTCCTGTATTCTCCGAATTCATTTTTATGAGAATAACATAACAAAACCACCAAAATATCAATCTACAATTGTAGTTTAATGATCATCTAGTAAATTCAAGGCTCATTTTGACTCTTTCAAGAGTTTTAGTTAAATTTAGGTGCTTTTAGGGCTTTTCATTAATTATAACGCTCTTCAAGGACAACCTTTGTATTTAGGACTTTTTCAAAGCCTGTACGAACACAGGTCCTCATTCAAATAAAGGGAAAATACATATCTCCCTAAATGTTTCTACCAGTTTTTAAGCAATGCATTAAAAGCAATACTTCTTTCTAGTTTGAGATGTAATATTGGTCTAACCAGGCCTTGGGCAATCGTATCCTTCAACAATGCTTGAAGACCTTGCTGCCCTCAACACTATCAAAATAGAATTTGCAAAGCAAAAGGTAACAGCTAGCACTAATCTCATAAATACCAATACTTGAGCATGCCAACGTGTTCTTTAGACTAAATGTACAATTGAATTTAACCTTACAGTAATTTTACAATTTTGTGGTTATAGACAAGATTTATTCCTGATATTGAATATAAACCTGTTCAAAACATAATCAAACTGATCCATGGAATTTCAATGTGTCATTCACACGGCCGTACATCAATCCAATCTCACATAACCACTGGCATACAAACCCTTACACACACATACACCTACACACACCCTCAAACAGATATAGAAACTTCTTGCACATACCAACCATCAAGTCTCCATTTTCACGGAGAAAGCTTTTGTCCTAATTTGGATTTGGTGGACCTTCAGAATATGTGCACTGTACACAAACACACATAGCAGTGTCTATGCTATTTCAATAATGCATTAACAAATAGGAGAGAAATGTGTTCCGATAAAACTGTCACAAAAACTTCAAATCCCAAGTCTGCAAAATGTACCATCAGTGAAAATAACACCTGTCACATTACAAAGTAACATTTGATGAATATATTTCTCAATTCACACAATTTTCATCTCAGATTAAACTAAGATTTTGTATTGAAACAGCAAATCTCTGTATAATTTGTATCCCGGTAATACAATGCTTCCAGATATACAACTGTTGTATGGTTAATGGCACAAACAAAACTCGGCTATGACAACAGTGATAAATCAAATACTGGAGTGCTTTTGAGAACAACATTTCTGACAAAAGTGTTGTAAATGACCTATATCTGTCCTGCACACAAACACTGGTATATTTGGTTTAGATCCTTCCTCATGACCAAAGTGATTGAAACAATTTAACTGTGTCCAAAATATTCTGTAGAACTTTTCTGGATGACCATGTACGACCTGCACTACCAGCTTATTATACATACAACATTTGTACTGGTGATGAGCCCGCGGGGCATGGATCTTAGTTTCCCCTAGACAGCCTGGTAAGTATTTTCTTAACTTCCTTCTCAGATACAATTTTTTTCAAAGATTTTGGAATTTACATGTTGGTCTAAACCAGGTCATACAGAAATATTTGCTAATGGATGACTTCCCTCTAACAGGACCACTCTCATTGTTTCTTGATATAGACATAAATGTTCAGTTGTGTGAAGATTCCGATTTTTGCATGTTGATGTAAACCAAGGTTTATAAATATATATTATTCAATCATGCCGTTTCTTTTTCCATACCCCGGTCCCTTTCTGACAGTGATGAAAGGCATGGTATTGCACCGAACATTATTTTGATCTTCTGATCTTCAAAATATTTCACTGTATCAGTTCATAAGGACCTCAATCTGGACTAGTCGTGCATTTGTGTCCCCTGGAAGTCTGTATGGAAGCATGCCTGCAAACATGATCAGGGCTCGAGCCTGGCTTCTTAGGAAATTCAGGAACTGAAATAGGAAAGATTTTTCTCAATATTACATATACTGGGGAAGCAAATTTTCACTTTGTTTTAAATACTAAACACTAAATTTCATTAGTGGAATTTCTATTTTTGAAATATACATGTACTATGAAAACAAATTTAGTTCACTCTGACAACAGAAAATACTGAACTAACAAGACACTCACCGTTTCCTTACCACCATCACCCGACCGTGACCCTAGACCTGTGATTGGACTCTGTGGAGCTGTATTTCTGAAGAGAAATGGAAAAAAAATGAAAAAAAAATATGAAAAACTTGGTTCCATTTTTTGTTGCTATCAACATATCCCAAAATTTCATGATTTCCCTAAACTATTCAGTGAAATGATATTTTTCATGATACCAAATAGGACAACTTGTCTTCAAACATACGTTTTCATTCCATCTTTAAATATGGTCATAACTTTATTAATATCAGATGAAAATAATCATTTTTCATTCTTATGCAAAATAAATAAATTTAATGTCCTATTTAATCTGTTGCTGATTGAAAATCACAAGATGTTTATACTTCCACTGAGTCTGTCTTCTAGAGCCCAAAACTATTCTCAGAAAGGTGCATGATATGAGAATCAAAACACACCTACCTGTACCTATATTCTAATTTTGCTCTAGTCATCAACATTGATATTTCAATGGAGAAAATGTAATAAAAGAGGCCTTTTTAATTGTAAATGCACTATTTGAGTTGACCTGATACTGCACGTGATGAAACGCTGCTATTCATTCAACTTACTTGGCATTTTTGTATTGATGATGTAAAATGTTCATCGTTGCTAACAGAATATCTGGTAAACACCTTCGCACCTGAAACACAGAAAAAACAAAGAATGTTCAATTATGAAACATTTCTCTGTAGCAATCAAAGAGCATGTTTCATACCAAGGTTTACCTGTAATCAAGCAGGTATTACAGGTACACGACTCTCCCATTTAATAGTGATGTTAGTGTGAAGTTGTAATGATAACACATTGTTATGACCTTCAGAGTTGATATGAATGTCACCTGCAAGTCCATAAGGAGCGATCGCCATAACATGCAAATGTAATTTCACCAAAACATTATTAAGAAGGCAAAAAGCATGATTTATAATGTTATATCACAGGGTACCTTGAAACATTACACTGAACTCAGTGGGGTCACAATTTATGTCAGGTTTTCTGGCTAAACAGTTTTAATTAAAATATGCATATTTAAAATGAAATTATTGTACAGATCTTTATGGTAGTAAAAATGAAACTGACTATGATAAAGTCTGTACAAATCCAAATCAAGAACATTCACTGGCTCTTTCCTTCATAATACTTTCTGCTGTCACTAATGATACCAGGCATAGCTGTACAACTGAACAACATATACATCTACACATTTCACTATTGTTGATGAATCTAACACAAATGTGTAATGTATAACCTAAAAGGTACTGTAAATTAGCAATCTGACAGCGTTACCTCATCTGTGTAATGTCGGAACGAGTTCACTTTTTGTTCTACGGCATCAGCAGTAAGGGGAAGTAGCTGCAGTTGTTTGATAACCTGTAAGAAAACAAACGATTTTTCTAGTGAAGTAAAATGCATTAAAGAAACTTAAAATTCAGACACTAATACCTTCAATAAGATTCATCAGTTTGGAAATATGCGATATCAAAGTTTTACTTTCTACACAAACAATGTACGTATTAAACGTGTCGCAACGTTTCATGACCGACTGGTCCCTTTGTCACATAGCTTGACAAAGGGACCAGTGGATCTTGAAACGTTTCAACACCTTTAACACATACATTGTTTGTGTTGAAAGTAAAACTTCGATATCTTCAGACACTAATGTTTTTCTAACATTTTCTACAGGTTGATTTGTATCGGTTGTAAACTAATACACATAGCAAACCAGTTGAATATTTATGTACGACGTCTCATTGACTAATTTGATATCTACCGACACCTTTTTCTTTATTATATCTAATGAAGGTGACGGAACATTGTATTTGTCATTGAAACGTCACACCCAAATATCTTGTTGTGTTATATGAACCTGTATACAATTGGACACTATTAACTTGTTGTGTTATATGAACCTGTATACAATTGGGGACTAATAACTTGTTGTGTTATATGAACCTGTAGACAATTGGGTACTAATAACTTGTTGTGTTATATGAACCTGTATACAATTGGACACTAACAACTTGTTGTGTTATATGAACCTGTATACAATTGGACACTAACAACTTGTTGTGTTATATGAACCTGTATACAATTAGGTACTAATAACTTGTTGTGTTATATGAACCTGTGTACAATTGGACACTATTAACTTGTTGTGTTATATGAACCTGTATACAATTGGGTACTAATATCTTGTTGTGTTATATGAACCTGTATACAATTGGACACTATTAACTTGTTGTGTTATATGAACCTGTATACAATTAGGTACTAATAACTTGTTGTGTTATATGAACCTGTAGACAATTGGGTACTAATAACTTGTTGTGTTATATGAACCTGTATACAATTGGACACTAATAACTTGTTGTGTTATATGAACCTGTATACAATTGGGTACTAATAACTTGTTGTGTTATATGAACCTGTATACAATTGGGCACTCATAGCTTATTCTTGTGATACAGTTTATGTGAAGAGATAATTATTTGCTTGCGTGATTATAAGACTTTCTTATCACATATTCCTTACATTAAATGTACAACCAACACAACAGTGACCTCAGACTTAACCTTGAAATCCTGCAAATTAACTCATACAAGGTATTCTCATACTTGACCTTTGTGTAAACTTTGATAAAAGTCTGTTTGGAAATGAAGTCAGTAGGGTCATGATAATAAATTGTGATACGAGACTGGATGGACATGTCACAGAGAGAAACACCCAAGCTATATCCCTCCAATTAAATGGAAGAGGTAAGTATAAGTCTTTTTACAATGTAATTTATATAATCATCCAATAACATTTCACTTAACACTAAACTGACTTCAATTAATGTATTACATTTATCAAACACTTTTCATATGTCAATATCCTGAAAATATGTAAGCTGTCAAAACAGTCATTCTCTTTATTCAATATCATAATTTTTGGAGACTTACTTTATCATTTAGCGAAAGAAAAAAAATCAAATGTACCTAAAGGATATATTTGAAAAGAAATTAAGCTTCAAACATAAACTAATACAACAACCACACTCCCCCATACAATATATTGATTAAGCAAATACCAGGACCACAGACAAGAACTCACAGTGAGACCCTCGTCCATGTTGCCAGCGTGGTAGAAGTCGAAGAAAGTGAGGAGGTCGAGAAGGAGGAAGAATGTGCTTGTGTTGGACCGATTTCCTTCCACACCCTCAGACCTGTACCTGTAACAGAAGTATTTATAAAGTTTGGATGATAAAACTTCTTTCTCAGACTCAGATAAGTAAGACCAATACTAGGCTAATCCTGGTAAACGAGATAAGCCTTAGTCAGGATGAATACCAGACCAGTTCTGGTCTTTATGTCATGTTGTCAAAGCTATATCTCAAGACGGATTAAAACAAGAGTACCGCGGGGCGGAACAATATACGCCCGTCAAATGCCATATAGTGTTATATACTTTCTTACATTGAAATAAGATCTGCATCATTCTAAGAGTGGTTAGCTGACATGCTATAAAAAATGTAGGAGAAAAACTCTGGACAAAATATCAAATACTGAAATGAACAAAGGGCAATAACTTTTGCAAAAATTGTTGAATCACAATTCTTTTGAGGGAGTCTCAACTTCATATCATGATTATAATGTATACCAAGTTTCAAAGAGATCCGATGAAAAATGTAGGAGAAGATTGCTGGACAAAAATCAAATACTGAAATAAACAAAGGGCAATAACTTTGACAAAAAGTGTTGAATCCAAAAAATATCCAAGGAAACACAACAACATATCATGATTATTTAGCCTACAAAGTTTCAAAGAAATCCGCCAAAAAATGTAGTAGGAGATCTCCAGACAAAAAATCAAATACTGAAATGAACAAAGGGCAATAACTTTTGGAAAAATTGTCAAATCAAAATTTTAAGGGAGACACAACTTGATATCATGATTATAATGTATATCAAGTTTCAAAGAGATCGGTCAAAAAATGTAGGAGGATATTGCCGGACAAACAACAGTTTACGCCGGACAGACGGACGCCGCCAAACCATAATACTCCCATCAAATTTGACGGGCATATAAAAAGACACATATCACAAACAAAATCATCAGATTTCTTATATATATAAGTTTGATCTAGTGCCATTGCAACTAACCAAGGGAGATAACCTACCTTTCAGCCATACCAATGGCCATATTGCGTAGCCGGTCCCGTGACGACTGAGGTGAGTTTGACTGGGATACCACTTGACTGATCAGTTTGTTTAAAATCTCCAGCACCTTGTCCTGTTTCTAAAAAACAAAAACAAAAATCCCTTAATTATGTCATTGTCACATGTCAACTGTTTCCCAGTTTAGTTTAAAAATACCGAAAATATTCCATATTCAAATAAAACTCAAATCCAACAATTACTTCTACATAATGTAAGACATGCACATTGAATGATCATTTGACAGTGCACCAAAAACAAGAGGCCAAGAGGGCCTGTATCGCTCAGCAATCATGGCAAAATGGCAAATGAGATCCAAGGAAATGGGCCAGACCCCAAGGCCTATCCTTGTAGCATATCTGTATTATATTTTTCATGCCCAGCAGTTTTATTTATGGTTATGGGGTGGGGATCTCAACTGTTTCCAATCTGTGATTCAAAAACTAGGTCCCTAGGGTTGTGGCCAGACCCCGGGGTCAATTATAATATCATAACTGCATTCGCCTCTCAATTGTACAAGTATGTATAGTTATGGGGTGGGGAACTTAATCATTTCGAAGTTATGACCGAGGGGTTATATTCACTCAACTCAACAAGATAATATAACCTTATTTTGCTCACCTTAGCCAAATGATACAGCCTCTATCTACTCTCCTTAATAGCCTTATTGTATAGTTTCTTTTTAAATACTTTTGCCAGGTTGTACAGCCTCTATTTACTCACCTTAGCCAGATCATACAGCCTTACTGCATCCTCAAACAGCCCTTTACTCTCAGTATCCTTGGCCACCAGCTCTATAATTTTCTGGGTGTCACCATGGAACTTGTCTATAGCTCCAGGCTACAAATATCAACAGAAAGTTAAATGTTAATGTCACTTTTTTGGGGTTGAAATTGTATGAAATAAGAGGCCCATGGGCCTTAACGGCCACATGAGTTCTGATATTTATATTAAATTATATTAAAAATAAATGAAAAATAACTATCCAATGTCTAGCATGCAGATTTAAGACTGGAGAGTATTTGATTATAGCATGTCAGGGTCAAAGAATTTTTAGCACCTCTGACTCCTCATTCTGGGCCCCACCCTTCAGCCCCTTGGGGTTGGTTAGTCGAATGTGCATACCATCTACCATCTTCTCATGCGTATATACAATGTAATTCCAACCGGTTTTGAATTTCAAACTGAAAATGACTGCCCAAATGTATAATTTTCCTACAGAATCTACAGTAAATTTCATCTCAACCCCAGGCCTGGGGGGGGGGGGGGCATGAAGTACGGGAGTAATGACCTAAACATGCACAAATCCTTCAGTGTATATTTCCCCGCCGTGTCCCATCACGTTCAATCTTCCCAAGCAGCATCTCAAACTGAAAATTGAATGTGATTCATCATAGAAACATTTAAATTTTGCTGGGTTTTTTTTCATTTTATTTTATTTCATTTTATTACATATATAAAATCAATATTGTAACTTTGTGTTAGAAGATTTAATATAAACATGACGTGCCATTTTTCAGATAGAGTCAAGCCACCACTAATCTAGTTGTATGTACCACTATATCTCATTACATTGGGGGACACAATAGCTTTCTCTATACCAAATTGTACCAGAAATGATGCCATTTCAGGATCAAGTGACTATTGCTGAGAATGAAAGTGTCTGGATCACTGAGGCTCCACTGTATACTAATCTTTATTTCAGTGATACATAGTAAAATCGATACAATACTGTGGGTCAATTCCAACCACACAATGCATTTCATTTATGCTTTTTTTTTATTCTTTTATGTATGATCTGTGATATATCACTAAACAAACATTTTCCTGCACAAATGGCAGCAATGTAACAAAGCTCTATTATTTAACATAAACTACAAGTCATAATTCTTAAAAGTGCATTTCCTTATATCAAGATATACATTCTATATCAACATGAAATCAGTGTGATTCATGTCTTACATACAGGCCTCAATATTACAAAAGCTATCTCTAATATGACATCTTTAATACTTAAGTATTCTTATATTAATTTTCATAATTTCTCAATTTTTCTTCAATTTTTCCATTATTTCAAGTCGGTAGGTAATTTTTTCACATATCATAATCATAAAATATTTTACTATTTCAACTAACATTTTTGGAAATACAGACCTTTTAAACATAATTCTGATTTTGAGAAATAAGAACATCCTTTTAGAAGATATGCAGTTTCATGACCAAGTTACGCTAATAACTGCATTATTTCAATATTATGAATTAATCAACAAGTTTGATGACTGAAAAGAATGACAAATTATAATCTAGATATATGATTTATGATAAAACTATATCTTATTTCTTGGGAAATTTTCAGGCACAATTTTGTACCATATATTAAAAACACTTTGTCATGCTGTGATACACTCTGGTAGAATATTTTCAGAAATGGAGATGTTTTTTATATCATGTAACAACTCACTTCTCGGGTCTCCAGTACAAGTTCACTAACACATGACATAAATAAGTTCTCTCCCTGCCCGCTTCTCAAGTCCCTGTGACAAAAAATCACACATGGAAAATATGTGTTAACATCACATATCAAGACAATCTTTGATTTATAGAGACAAGCCTAATTTTGATTACTGCGGTATTACGTAGACATCATATTCGATCTCCACTTCACTATATTTAAATGTATCAAATACAAGTAAAACAAGTGTCAAATGTTCTACAAAGAATAAAGCTAGAATGGTAAAAGATCTGTGGAATTTTCATTAAAGTTTTGTCTTCAAAACAAAATATAGCTTACTAGTATATTATATTATGAACAATTACTTAACGATATTGTTAATAATGAATCTGGCGACAATGGACTGAATCATGACAATGACATAACATTTTCCTTTCCCTAACATTAACCAGAAGAAGTCTCTCATCTTATTTTACCTGCGAAGTAAAAATACAGCAGTACCTCCCTACTATCTCTCAACTAACACTTGCCTGAGGAGGTCCCGCAACTTACATTTACCTGAGGAGGTCCCGCAACTTACACTTACCTGAGGAAGTAGAAATACTGCAGTGCCTCTCTACTGTCTGTTGCCTCAAACTTCCGTGTGTACATAGTGATGAGGCGTACAAAGTTCAGTCGTCTCATTGGCTGTTCATCTGTGGCTTCCTTGGTAACTGTGATAATGACAATACATTGAAAATGATGTATATTTAATAGATAAAATCGGTGTATAGTGCAAAAATGTTATTGAAATATTGGCATTAATATATCACCATTATTTTTGCAAGTGTGAAGCCCCTGTGCCCTTGAATCATTTATCTTGGCACACTTACACTTCCATACAACTCGGCAATCTACTGGCAAATTTTTACGTGGTAATTTTAAAACACAATGTAGGGTGATTTGTGTTTTGAAGTAGGGAGAGTGCTTTTTTAGTAAAAGGATATTTTTTAATTTCATTTCACTATGTCATTTAAAAAAAATACATTCACAAACTTTTCCAGTCTTATTGGGGGAAAACCACAGTAAATATTTTCTCTATTGAACAATCAAAAGCTGAACAATATAAAGGAGGTTAACAATTAATTAGATATGACACAATGCTATTATCATTATCCAACGAAGATGACAGCAAATGCACTAATACATGAAGCTAAATTATGTATTTACTTACATTAACTCAACTCATTAATAAAAAGAGACAACTTTTCATGAGAGAATCGAAAGACAGCTGTTTTGATGTTCAAAACCAGGAAATATCAAGAGACTCATTTATGGATTTTAGATATCAAGACTACACCTCTTGGTTCTTATGATGAAGCTGTTAAAAAAGAAATATTGATGCTGAACTGAACTGTTGCTATGCTCCCAGTACTGCCTCTTTGGTGAGCAAAAACAAATTTAGACACTTGTGTGTGGCTACTTATTTGAATAAACTTGACGAATTTTTTTAAGTCCCTATTAAGAGGTTGACAAGACTGACAGGATCTTTTATCGGGACACACAACTTGTGTTAGGATACATAGCAAGCACCCTTTATGTGTTGTGTATCAGTTGTCACAGGTTGTAGAGAGTCACGTGACCACACAATATCAGCCAACAAGAAAACTTTACAACACTGTGATCACTTACGGAGCTGGGACTGGTTGGAGGTTGACAACATCAGCATCTTCAACTCGTACAGAACCAGTGCGACATGGACGGAGTGGCACAGAAGCTTGTCAATACGGGACATAAACTCAATGGCCGCCTCAAACTGAGCTGTCAGAATCAACACCTGGAAATAGAGGTACGGCTGCTGGTATCCGCTGAAGTAGCTCTCACCTGGATAGAACAAGACAAATACAGTAAAATTAAAACTGAAATCTTGCAGATTTTCATTCTTTATAAGCATCAATGAAATAAAGAATCATTTCATTATGCAATAAAAACAGAAACATGGGGTATGAACAGTTCTAAATTAGGATGCAATCTCAGCATTTTGATTCATTTCAAAATTCTTGTACAGCATGGTTGTTTCTGTAATGTAAACAGAACATTACAAATACAACTATTAACCAAAATCCTCATACAACATGGTCTGTAATATTACAACTTTCCTAAATCGTCATACAACATGGTCGGCAGTTTTTGTAATATGAACAGAACTTTATAAACAGTCATTACAGAAATCCCCATAAACATGTTCTATAGGTGTGTAATTTACTGGTAAACAGAATTTCATACAAAGCTCTCATTGAAATCCTCATACAACATGGTCTGTAGTATAACAACTTACCTAAATCCTCATACAACATGGTCTGTAGTTTTTGCAATATGAACAGAACTTTATAAACAGTCATTACAGAAATCCCCATAAACATGTTCTATAGGTGTGTAATTTACTGGTAAACAGAATTTCATACAAAGCTCTCATTGAAATCCTCATACAACATGGTCTGTCGTATCTCCAAGTGTTAGTAGTGTAAACAAAACATTACACACACACTCACCGAAATCCTCATACATCATGGTCTGTTGTAAACAAAACATTACACACACACTCACCGAAATCCTCATACATCATGGTCTGTTGTAAACAAAACATTACACACACACTCACCGAAATCCTCATACATCATGGTCTGTTGTAAACAAAATATTACAAACACAACTACTAACCGAAATTCTCATACAACATGGTCTGTCGTAGCGTTGGTAGTGTAAACAAAATATTGAAAATACAACAACTCACCGAAATCCTCAAACAACATGGTCTGTAGTTTCTGTAGTGTGAACTGGTCCTGGCTCACAGGGTCGGGGTCTAGCTGTATCTGTGACAACTTTATCCACAGGTAGTCATCAATTTTGTCAGCAATGTCTGAGTGGTTCTCCTCGTAATCACACCGGCCTATCACACAATACACTGCCCTGTAAGTAAATGTCATGAAATAGTTATTGGATAGGTTGGTATCACAAAGTTAGTGCTGAAGTATAAAGTCTTGGTTCTTCTTTGTTGTGATTTTGAATGAAATATACTACAGACTTCCAAAATCTGACCTCATTGTACTCAAATCATCAAGTCTACCCACAAAATCAATAGGAGATTCCAAATCATATTCAATATAGTCAGAGATACTTGTTTATTTTAATGCTATTTATCTACAATTCAAATATTTTAGAACAATTATTATTGGTTCGTGCTTCAGAATGTCTCGGCATAAGTACACATGATTTCATTTAAATGTTTTTTTGTTATCCTGAGAAAATTAAGAATAGTGAAAATCATATGACAAATCGTTCAAGCTTTCAAACAATATTGAGTGGGATACCATGAAGTTTACCAGTCAATTCTGTTTCCAGTCAATGATCCAAGAGGCTAGAGGAATATGTCCCCAAAACACTAGCTGGATAGTGGAACAACCGAGTATGTGGTGGCTGCATTAACTAGGCTAGTCTAGGTCTGAAGTGGGACTAGACTGTTTATTTTATATAATAACTTGAACATTTGTAACAAAGACCCATGCAGGTGTACCGTTTAAAAGGATCCGTCCCATTCTTCACAATGCGTCTGTAGTGTAGATGTATTTTTGTTTCTGTACTGGAACTCAATCTGGATAATAAAATACATAGTCATCTATCACTTGTTTTTTAAACTGCTGTATGACAAAACTGTAAATTTGATTATTTCAAAATAATTTGCCCTCTTTAACTCATTCACCCCTGAAGACACATTTGAACTCTTCCAATTCAAAGGTTTGAATAATTCATTATGAAATTTCAGGGGTGAATGAGTTAATTTATCTTTGCACAAAGAATACTTATTTTATTTTTGTTCAAATGCACATACATCATGTACTCATACCCTTAATTCAAACTGTTAATTTGTTTCTTATATCAAAGAATCTTTTTAACCAAGTTTAAAAGTTAAAGTAAAACCATACTTTTTTTAAAAGGTCTATCAGGATTAAGATAAGTAGGACTGAAACAGCTTAAATACTTGAACTATAGAGTTATCACATTTTGTAAGCATTGTATTTTTGCTTTATTCAAGATCAGAACATATTACATCTGTACAACTAAATGTCGGGTAACTATATATTTGCAAAGGTGAAAACATTACCATAATAATCAAACATACTATTAAAGCAGTGAAATGCAAAATAAAAATATGGATCACTTTTTCTGGATGTAACATCGCAAATATCTAGAACTATAGAGAACAGTTATATGCGCAGAGAATATTATTTAATCATGTCAGAAAATTACATAAGAACAACTTTAGCTTACATGATCAAAAATAAACTGCCAGCGAGAGTATGCTTATCTATTCCAGTAAAAGCTCCTGATCGCAAACTCAAAAAAAATTGCTATGGAGAATGACTGAACTTGGTTTAAATCCACAAAATGAGTTGATTCCATCAGGAGGGAAATTACACCATGATCTGTAACAGGTGTGTTTTTGCATCTGCTAATTGGGTCAGTGAGTATCCTCGAAGCTATACCCTATAGACCTCCACTCTGGCCACACTTACCTGTGGTCTTCATTGGCAATGTACTCCTGTAGAAATGTTGTAAAATCACCAACATTGTGCCTGCAAACCAGATATATAATACATTTCAAAGAAAAGAATGAAATAACAAACCAATTCCTTTGAACATTTTGACTGATTTTTAAAGAACTCATCCAATAAAATAAGCAACAAGTTCTATTTAGATGTTTGGACTGACTCCGTCAAATTCATGCTTTGCAATATTGATAAAGTTTCTTTCAGACCTTTAGACTGAATTTCTTCCATCCAACTTAACTTAAAGAACATTTTTTATCTTATTACTAGTATGATATGCAGCTAATATGTCTGTGGCATATTTTTCAAAATAATACAATTTTTTTGTCAAACATAACTATTGCAAGAGAAGATTTCAAGTGTGATGTCACAGGCAGTACCAATTAGGACATCATTATTAGGTTACATATGTGTCCTAGTTTCTCAAGACTTTGCTGGAAACTTGTTGATGATCAGGGGAAAAAAGGATTCATTTCAGAATATTTGCATTAATTCTTTGTTATGTCATAAAATGGTGTTGAACTTAATAAGAGATTACTAGAGAGGGTCAGAGACACAATATTCCTTATAAATTGAAAACTTGATGCAATTCTGATGATTACCGCAGTTGATACATGTATTATACAAAGTCCTCACTAATAGCTCATCAATGAATGGATATGAGATTGATGAAAAAAGTTTCAAGCAATTTCAGTTTTTAGCTTGGCAAAGTCTTGTAAAAATGAAAATATCTAAAATCATTTAATAAATGTCCAATTCATGATTATTTGAAAAGTAAATTAACTTAAGATCATATCCTGTGTTATTTTAATATCTGTGAGGATTGACATGATTACACCAGACAATGGGATACATACGCTGCCTTGTCCACAACGTGCTGAGCAGCTTGGAGATCTCCACATCGCAGACAATAGTACACCATGGCCCAGGTGGGATGGCCATCAACCGTCTCATCCTACAACATCAAACAATCATTCATGTATTTCTATATTTTATGCAAAAAAATACAATTTCTAACATATTTATGATAAATGTAAACACTAACATTCGGGCAAACAAGAGCTGATTCATATAAATTGTAACAACTTGTTTCATAATTGTAAAATAAACTAGAACACTGACAGGTCAGTAAGGGCTTGTCTTGTGGCAATTATATCCCCCATAATCATCAAGAAGCAATCTGCCCATATAGCTAAGCTTGACGTTTGACATTTGGACTTCAAAAAGAATTGCAAGGAAGCAAAATATACATTTGACATGTACTATGATGTGATGTGTTTCCTTCCCCCTCCATATTTGCTGGGCTAACAGAAATGTAATTACCGGTGCAATCCTCATTTGTTAGCTTTGATTTGTTTTATTTCACCTTATATACCTTCTCCATCAAGAGCCAGGGTCAAGACAGAGATCCACTTTGTCTTTGACCTTTGGACCCAAATGCCCTTGATCATTAATCCAGTGCCCCTGATCTTTGGTCAGTTGACTTATTCTTTAATTTCGACCAACTTTGCTTCTTAATATCATAACAAAATGTTCATCAGTGACAAGATGTAAAATTTGACCTTGACCTTAGAATCTCATGACCTTGACCTTTGACCTCAGATTTTTACCTCAGTGTGTCTCTTTGTTTAATTCTGAACAACTTTGCTTCATAATGTCATAGCGAAATGTTCACTAGTGAAAAGCTACAAAATTTGACCTTGACCCCTGACCCAATGACCTTGGGTCAGTTGACTCCTTGTTTAATTCTGATCAACTTTGCTTCATAATGTCATAACAAAATGTTCACCAGTGAAAATATGTAAAATTTGACCTCGACCTTTGAACCTAATGACCTTGGACCTTGACTTTTTATATTAATGTGTATTTTTATGAACTGAACATCTTGACCAAGTTTCATGTACATCAGTCAATAAATACTAAAGTTATCAGCCAGGAACAAAATATGTGGACAGACAGACAGACAGAAAGAGTAATTACTATAGGGCATCCGTATCTCCGATACGGGGCCCTAATAAAGTTTATTATCAAACAGACATACTAAAATGGCCAGAATTGATGTGTATTTTCCCAAATCTGATTCAGGATTTTTTGGTTTAGTACTCAGGTAGGTTGGGATTTTTATTTTATTTTATGCATTTTAACTGGTTGAATGATATGAAGTTGATAATATAATTTGTCAGGTGTAAACATTTCCAAAATATCTATTACAGCAGATCTATAAAACATCATTACAGGTAACTCATTAAACTTTTGCGACTTCAAAAAAACAGAATACTAAATTTCACAAAAGTATTTGGTGTAGGGTTATTTTTCAGGTTCAGTCAGGTTTTGACAAACAGTCAATCTTTTATTTGAGGCCGAACGTTTATTCAAATAATGAACAATAATGAAAGACGACAGTAAAAACCTTTTGTATGGGATCATTTTGTCTGAGCTTCAATTTCTCTCGAAAAACAGATCCCCGATTTCAGACCGATTCTTCCATCCTCCCAGAAAGGTTCTTCTGCAGTGATTAACGAGATTGTACCTTTACAGATTCTACTTTATCGACTCACCTCAAGGCCCCTGAAGCTAGGAGGTTTGACATTCAGGAAGCTACGGACTAAGTTGTAGGTACCGGGGATACCCCCTAACTGGGCTTTCTGGAGGTTACCATATATAGTGTTGGTGATGTATTTTGTGTACCTGAAAACAGAAATTACATGTTTAATAGAAATTGTGTACAAATAAAATGGTTTTTTTTCTTGTCAATGATTTGTCATTTACCCTCTAGAAATATACATTTTCTCCACTCTAGCAGTGCTGTCCTCTCCCAATGTGTTATCTGGCCAGCTTATTAATGGAGGTTGGAACTACCACACTTCAAAAGAAACTGATTTTTTTTCTAAATTTCTTACAGACGGTAGTGATATTCTCTGATATCCCATGTCTTGTCCAACAAGCTGTTGCTAGAGTGTATCATATCAACTGTGTCCCCAGGTGGTCGTGTGCCTTATCCATGCAGGCCATGTGAATCCGGTAGTCATCATATCACATCATACTTACCATGTCTCCAGGTAGTTCCCATACTTGAAATTCCATTTACCGTTAGCTGTTTGATTGGTTTCAGGTTAAAAACAAGAGGCCCATGGGCCTTAACGGTCACCTGAGTCTACAGTATTTATTTTTGTTGTTGAAATATGTACCAATTTGAGTAAAAAATAGTATAATGTTAACTTAACTTTGTCAGGACCATGAGCTGATCATTCCTAGACCAATTTTAAGTGAGATCGGCCTATTAGAACTTAGTAGCAAAATAGCGGCCATGGCAGCCAAATTGTATTTCTGATTGACCCGAAAAATAACAACACTTTGTCAGGACCATGAGGTGATTATTCCTACCAACTTTCAGTTTAATCGGTCCAGCAGAACTTGACTTTAAGTTTGAAATAGGTTTTCAAAATGGCGGCCGTGGTGGCCATATTGGATTTCTGATCGACCCGAAAAATAACAACACTTTGTCAGGTCCATGAGGTGATCATTCCTACCAACTTTCAGTTCAATCGGTCCAGCAGAACTTGACTTTAAGTTTGAAATAGGTTTTCAAAATGGCGGCCGTGGAGGCCATATTGGATTTCTGATCGACCCGAAAAATAACAACACTTTGTCAGGACCATGAGGCGATCATTCCTACCAACTTTCAGTTCAATCGGCCCAGCAGAACTTGACTTTAAGTTTGAAATGTAAAATGTTAACAGACGACGGACGACGACGGACGAAAACGGATAGCAATAGGTCACTTGAGCTAAAGCTCAGGTGACCTAAAAAACCTGACCAACCTCCTGATATCTGTCCTTTGAGTATTATTTTACCATTACACTGCCAAATATTTCTCCTGAAGTACATTAAAGAATCAAACTTGTCTCCTTGTAACATCCACAATGTAGCACATACAGAGCCTTCAATTTTGTCATGACATGTTCCAGGGATGCAGAGAGCATAACCCTTGGAATTTGGAGGATGGGTATGCCTTGTCATGCAAGTCCTTTGGTCTTCATAGACTACCATACTTACTGTGTCTCCGGATAGTCTGTAGCTTTGTCCACAAAAGCTATGTGTGTCCTGTAGTCATCATAGCCTACCATACTTACTGTGTCTCCAGGTAATCTCTAGCTTTGTCCACAAAGGCTATATGGGTCCTGTAGTCATCATAGCCTACCATACTTACTGTGTCTCCGGGTAGTCTCTAGCTTTGTCCACAAAGGCTATGTGGGTCCTGAAGTCATCATAGCCTACCATACTTACTGTGTCTCCGGGTAGTCTCTAGCTTTGTCCACAAAGGCTATGTGGGTCCTGTAGTCATCATAGCCTACCATACTTACTGTGTCTCCAGGTAGTCTCTCGCTTTGTCCACAAAGGCTATGTGGGTCCTGTAGTCATCATAGCCTACCATACTTACTGTGTCTCCAGGTAGTCTCTCGCTTTGTCCACAAAGGCTATGTGGGTCCTGTAGTCATCATAGCCTACCATACTTACTGTGTCTCCAGGTAGTCTCTCGCTTTGTCCACAAAGGCTATGTGGGTCCTGTAGTCATCATAGCCTACCATACTTACTGTGTCTCCAGGTAGTCTCTCGCTTTGTCCACAAAGGCTATGTGGGTCCTGTAGTCATCATAGCCTACCATACTTACTGTGTCTCCAGGTAGTCTCTCGCTTTGTCCACAAAGGCTATGTGGGTCCTGTAGTCATCATAGCCTACCATACTTACTGTGTCTCCAGGTAGTCTCTCGCTTTGTCCACAAAGGCTATGTGGGTCCTGTAGTCATCATAGCCTACCATACTTACTGTGTCTCCAGGTAGTCTCTCGCTTTGTCCACAAAGGCTATGTGGGTCCTGTAGTCATCATAGCCTACCATACTTACTGTGTCTCCAGGTAGTCTCTAGCTTTGTCCACAAAGGCTATGTGGGTCCTGTAGTCATCATAGCCTACCATACTTACTGTGTCTCCAGGTAGTCTCTCGCTTTGTCCACAAAGGCTATGTGGGTCCTGTAGTCATCATAGCCTACCATACTTACTGTGTCTCCAGGTAGTCTCTCGCTTTGTCCACAAAGGCTATGTGGGTCCTGTAGTCATCATAGCCTACCATACTTACTGTGTCTCCAGGTAGTCTCTAGCTTTGTCCACAAAGGCTATGTGGGTCCTGTAGTCATCATAGCCTACCATACTTACTGTGTCTCCAGGTAGTCTCTCGCTTTGTCCACAAAGGCTATGTGGGTCCTGTAGTCATCATAGCCTACCATACTTACTGTGTCTCCAGGTAGTCTCTCGCTTTGTCCACAAAGGCTATGTGGGTCCTGTAGTCATCATAGCCTACCATACTTACTGTGTCTCCAGGTAGTCTCTAGCTTTGTCCACAAAGGCTATGTGGGTCCTGTAGTCATCATAGCCTACCATACTTACTGTGTCTCCAGGTAGTCTCTCGCTTTGTCCACAAAGGCTATGTGGGTCCTGTAGTCATCATAGCCTACCATACTTACTGTGTCTCCAGGTAGTCTCTAGCTTTGTCCACAAAGGCTATGTGGGTCCTGTAGTCATCATAGCCTACCATACTTACTGTGTCTCCAGGTAGTCTCTCGCTTTGTCCACAAAGGCTATGTGGGTCCTGTAGTCATCATAGCCTACCATACTTACTGTGTCTCCAGGTAGTCTCTAGCTTTGTCCACAAAGGCTATGTGGGTCCTGTAGTCATCATAGCCTACCATACTTACTGTGTCTCCAGGTAGTCTCTCGCTTTGTCCACAAAGGCTATGTGGGTCCTGTAGTCATCATAGCCTACCATACTTACTGTGTCTCCAGGTAGTCTCTAGCTTTGTCCACAAAGGCTATGTGGGTCCTGTAGTCATCATAGCCTACCATACTTACTGTGTCTCCAGGTAGTCTCTCGCTTTGTCCACAAAGGCTATGTGGGTCCTGTAGTCATCATAGCCTACCATACTTACTGTGTCTCCAGGTAGTCTCTAGCTTTGTCCACAAAGGCTATGTGGGTCCTGTAGTCATCATAGCCTACCATACTTACTGTGTCTCCAGGTAGTCTCTCGCTTTGTCCACAAAGGCTATGTGGGTCCTGTAGTCATCATAGCCTACCATACTTACTGTGTCTCCAGGTAGTCTCTAGCTTTGTCCACAAAGGCTATGTGGGTCCTGTAGTCATCATAGCCTACCATACTTACTGTGTCTCCAGGTAGTCTCTCGCTTTGTCCACAAAGGCTATGTGGGTCCTGTAGTCATCATAGCCTACCATACTTACTGTGTCTCCAGGTAGTCTCTAGCTTTGTCCACAAAGGCTATGTGGGTCCTGTAGTCATCATAGCCTACCATACTTACTGTGTCTCCAGGTAGTCTCTCGCTTTGTCCACAAAGGCTATGTGGGTCCTGTAGTCATCATAGCCTACCATACTTACTGTGTCTCCAGGTAGTCTCTAGCTTTGTCCACAAAGGCTATGTGGGTCCTGTAGTCATCATAGCCTACCATACTTACTGTGTCTCCAGGTAGTCTCTCGCTTTGTCCACAAAGGCTATGTGGGTCCTGTAGTCATCATAGCCTACCATACTTACTGTGTCTCCAGGTAGTCTCTAGCTTTGTCCACAAAGGCTATGTGGGTCCTGTAGTCATCATAGCCTACCATACTTACTGTGTCTCCAGGTAGTCTCTAGCTTTGTCCACAAAGGCTATGTGGGTCCTGTAGTCATCATAGCCTACCATACTTACTGTGTCTCCAGGTAGTCTCTAGCTTTGTCCACAAAGGCTATGTGTGTCCTGTAGTCATCATAGCCTACCATACTTACTGTGTCTCCAGGTAGTCTCTAGCTTTGTCCACAAAGGCTATATGTGTCCTGTAGTCATCATAGCCTACCATACTTACTGTGTCTCCAGGTAGTCTCTAGCTTTGTCCACAAAGGCTATGTGTGTCCTGTAGTCGGAGCGAGTCTGACCAATACTACTGGTACACACTAAGGGAACCTCCACCATACACTTCACCATGTCCCACAAGTCCACTACATGCTGTGAGAAAATATCAGTTTTAAGATCAAGCTTACAAATGATAATTATCTGAATGAAATGAAGCCCTATTTCTAAGACCTAGTCAGCTAACTTGGAGACATTCGAAAATATTTTTATTCTGCTTATATAGAGCAAGAGTTCTGACTTTAACAGTACATATCAATAAATGCCAATAAAACATTTAGGGTAGGCACAACAATCTAGGGTATGAAGCGTTAGCAGAAACAAGCTTTTTTTTAAGTAAAGGCTGGTACCAGTGATGATCATTATACAAACATTCACAGTCAAACTTTACAGATTACTCAATACTGTATCTTTATGTTCAAAACACCAATAGGATCAGAAAATGGCAAGTTTTTTTTTGTTCATGTACATCAATTTGTTCAGTCCACTGACAATATAAGTCATTTCAGGCCAAACCATATTATAGAAACGATATAGAGACCTCTTATCATTTAACTACTTTTCTGAACTAGTAATTACATGTATAACATTCCAAAACAAATTAAAATGGCTTATTATCATCTCATAGTAACACAATGTATGACTGCCAGAGATCCATGGCTTATTGTCTAATCATATTTTGAAGTCTTGTTTTTCAAAACTTTTAATCATTATTGATGAAAGAGGAAATTCTGAAAGATTTATACACCTAACTTTAATACATAAATATCATGACACGACATAAATTCTTTTCAGAATTACCATATTGTAAAGCAGGCTATACAATACGCTACAAGTTGTGCAAACTACGATCAGGTTTTAGGAAAATGCAAAAACCATTAAACTTCAGTCTTTTTTGTACCTTGTCATCCAGTTTTTTCGCCACGTCCAGGAACATATCCACAAGACAAGGTCTAACACTGCCCTGTACAATTTGTTCATTGTACTGGAACACCTAAATAACAAAACAGACATAGACATGTTTTATTATTACAACAATTAATTTTAATTATCGGTAATTAAAAATATTGAGGATAATTTTCAAATTTTCCAATCATATTTGAAAAAAAAGAAATTTGCAATGCCATAAAGTTTACAAATCTAATTCTTTTCATACACAGATGCTTATTTTTTTAATCACGCTTACGGCTTTAAAAGATAACAAAGACAAGATATTGGAAAAGTGACATCTGTATTTAAACAGGGTATTGTGAACTATACAAATCCCCCTGTGCAAAAGTTGGTTAAAAAATGTTCTTTGTAACACATACACATCTGCCATACATTTCAAAGTTAGTAGCTATGTCTGACAACAGTTACTTGTTTGAGGTATATTCTCATTCTTCACTAACACTTGAAGTTTGATTTAATTTTGAATAGTATTCGTGACCTTGACACCCTGAAATACTATATTTAGGGCACTGTCATATCTGACTTTTACATGAAGTTATAACAAGGGGACGACAAAGATTTTCTACAAATAAAAACAGTGAACTTGATCTTAAACGTGAAAACCCCTCGCTTGAGGTGTTCTATACTTGACCAATTTAAGAAGGTTAATCAAAATCTCTAAAAAAAAAATGAAATTGTTAAAGCGATGACAAGATGTTAACCTACAAATGAACACATGTTATCTCCAGTGCAATATCCCTTTCAATCACCAATATGTACTTGTATATACAAAGGACAGTTTTCTAGTTTTCTGTACTTAATGTTTATGATATCAAGTGTCAGCAAGGTAATGTTTACCAGGCAACAGTCTATTTTTGATTATCAAAAGTAAAAACTACCACTGTGAGGAGAATTGACTACCAAACGGTAATATCTTTCAATTGACAGAATAACAACATATCTAAGTGACAGGAATTTGTTCCCATTTTGACCAATATAGGGCCTTGGAAAATCCTTGACCAGTATTGTACCTGTCTGGCATAAGCTGCCTCTATGTTGTCAAGGCTACTGCGACCCTGCATATTGACTGGATCAGCCAGGAAACTCTGCAAAAGTAAAATCATTGATTATAATTAAATCAAATTTCTCCAGCATAAAGCATATAACAAAAGAAATTACTGTGAGATAACATTAGGTACACACACTTTATCCTGGTTTCCCTACCTCAGACTCTGGCTGAAAGTCCAGTGTATCCTGTCCGAGACCCCTCAGTGAGTTGAGGATTTTCTGTTTTTCTCTTTCCCATTCACTCTCCATACACTCCCAGTGTCTCTTCTCAGTCTCCTCAAACGTCTAAAAATGGAAAATGCGAAAAAATGATGCCCCAATCACATGCATTTATACATTTTGAGGAGTTAAATTTCACAAATCTATCAGCAGAAAAGGTTAAATTCATGCATAAGGTTAACTTTTAAAATGCTCACATTTTTCCTGGTCTGTTCAATGACTGCAAGTAGTGCATTCTCTCTTTCGTTTCTCAAGAAACTCTGAAAAGAAAAATATTGAGTTTTAAAAAAAGGGTTCTGTTGCAAATTTACAGATTTTTTTTAAGAAACCATTTTAATTGGTATAATCATAAATTGCTTTAAAGCAAAATCAACAACATCTCCATATACACTATATCAAGATGCTTTCCTGAGTCAAGTTTATGATAATTCATATAATTCCATATATTGTACTTTGTCTCAATTATATATATGTAGGCAAGTACCATTCCCAGGTTAAATATTTACCTTTTTACCCAGCCTGGTCATGATCACATGAATTAGTGTTTACAAGAGAAATGGTTTGATCATATATAACTAGAGTTTGAAAATAAAAATGTTTTTATGAATACATGTACTAGATTCCAGGACACTTTTACAGTAAAGTTTTTATTTTATTTCAGATTCTGAAATTTTTCTTCATCAAATTGGAAGAAAATAATGAAACCTCATTGACATTGGGTCAATTACATTTCATATATATGTGTGAAGACAGGTAAAACCCTGTGAGAACACTACATACCTCTATATCTGTATCTCTGATGGGCTCTAAGGGCTCAAAAGACTTTGCTGCACTCAGGCCTTCCAGCTTCTGAGCTATCCTGGGGACATCATATCCCTTTGTTCCCAGCAGGATGGAACTATTTAAGCAAAAGTTTCTTCTACATTAGAGTGAATGTCAGGACATATAAGTTAAACTGACGCAAACGTTTCATATACATACATGTAGTACTGTACAATCTTGAGTTTTGTAAATCTGAACCTTGCATTTTTTCCACAAAAAGCCATTGTTAATTGATCATGAGCCTCAGTTGAATGTAATTTTTTAAATTACCAGTTGAAAGGGAAAACTTACGCTTTGACATCTGTGGAGTCCTGGCTGATGGGTGCCACTTTGGACAGGAGTCTTTGTCCTGCCTCCAGGATCTGTGTGAGGTTGCGGGACACTCGAGGCAGATCCGTCCCGCTCTCCATCTCCGCTGTGAGCTGTTCAGCCTGCTGCTGCAGGTCTCCAAAGTCGTTTCCATCTTCAACCATCATATTGGTTGGCTACAACTGTGACACAAATAAAACATAACCACTGTAAATTGTGTTTGAAAATAAGTGATTTATTAAAGAAATAACTTTGGAAACATAATCAGAAAATTCAATGGAAACATCATCAGAAAAATCCAATGGATATATACAATGTACTTGTACTGCTTTCTCTTTTCTTTAGCGTACATTACATTAACAGTCACATAGATGGACAAGCTGATTCCATTATGCCCCCCTAAATTTGATGGGGTTAATGATGAACTTGCTCATGATCACTTTGCAGGGATTTTCTACTGGTCTAGGGTCCCAGCCTGAAGATATTTTGTCTTTGGTGTTGCGAGAGGGCATGGGAGTACAAAAATAAAGTATGTTTCTCCAAAAGTCAGTAAAATAAAGCTGTTTGCCATGCATGTATGCTTTAACTGGAAATATCTCTTTTGGAAGAGAATCCCTGGGCTACAAATTAATTTTGAATACCAATGTCAATTTTGGCAATAGTTTCAAATTTTTACTAGTCCATGTGCACATTTAAGTAACCCATTCGTCTACTACAAGTCAATCAGATTCAAGCTTTTTGTTTTTAGAACTGCTAGTTCAGTTGGATGTTTCACAAGTCTCAGACTATTGGCTACCCTTATTGTCTAGCCCTGAACCCCCAATATTGAGGTGATAACAAGGACCTCCCTTACACTAGTACTCCTCCTACCACTTTTAACCATCATCATGGTCATTGGGGGATTACTATATAAAATCATCAGCACAGGAAAGTTAGTAGGTGGCAGGAGGTCTGCTCTTCAATTGATGGAAGAAGTTGTAGTACATGGAGAGAACAATTAAATAGTTAAGTCAATGGATAGGAGAGGTATAGTTAAAAAGAGTTCAGACCACTACAACTCAAGGCAAATTAGTTCTGTGGAAAAGAAAATTATAAGTTAAAGTGGTATTTACTTAAAGTCAACTTAAAGCTTATAGCAACAAGATTTGCCTGGAAAAAATGAAAACAACGCTTATATTTCATGCAATCACCACTTGTCAGCAGATTTGTGAGTGAAACAGGATGGAAGAAAATTTTAAAACAATCATCCCCTACCTTGAGGGTGTGACAGAGAAATCTCCAACTCACCCAATGTAACTGTTGGGCTGGTAGAATGTAATTTTTGCGCTAGTAGATTATTAACGTCTACTAGCAGGTCCAGTACACTCTGCCAATTGAGCTATATATAGCTGTAAAGACCTATAACAGCTCTATTGACCTATCCGAAATAGGTGTTTTGAGCTATTTTCATGTGATTTTCTTTTTTAAGGAAAACGAAACAAAGTCACTTTTAAAAGAAGATTGTATCATTAGGTTGATAACAAAAGACATTAAATATAAGTATTCTTTTTAAAAAATAATGATGTAAAAAAATCGAAAATTTAACATTGATGAAAAACATTACCATAAATTAACCTTATTGTTTTATGCGACTTTGTTTTAATTTAATGAAAATTGAAATCTGAGAAAATATATAGCTCAATACAGCTATAATTTATAGGTGAATATAGCTATATAGCTCATTCGGCAGAGTGTACTGGACCTGACTAGGTCTGTGTGCAAATTTTATTTTTGAGGGGGATTATACCCATGGAACTGTTGAAGTTCAGGGTCACAAATATCTTTTTAAAAGTTGGAAAGAGTGTTGCAGGTTTTCATTGTATGTTGAAATACGGATTTGATATATGTTGTGCTGAAGTCAGGACGTAAATTGTAATAAAATTGCATCCACCACTTACTCTGGTGATGAAAATGATTGGATTTTTTGATCGCCGTCCTGATCAGGCAAAGGTATCTGCCTCGCATTAAAGGGGGACACCTTTGATGAGGTTTATAAAAAATATCCCCTTTCATTCGAGGAAGATACCTGTGATTAGGGATTATGAGTGGACCGAATTGGCCAAACATACTGAATTTGAATCGAAAACAATATCCGAATGACATAATCTTCTGGTAAAATTAACAACTAAAGAACTGTATTGTTTCCCATTTCAACTGGAAACTAGTATGAAATAAAATGTTACTGTGGTAAGATTATTTATTACATCCTGACATTGTCATGTTTACTTGAATTTACCTACCTCAAAACCGAAAGCATGTGAAGTAGCCGCCACGGAAATCTGTATCTGCGCATGTGCAGAAAATAAGAAGTCATTGATATGTTTGTCGGAACCGAGACACACTTGGCGAATTTCAAGCATAAGAATGATAATGCCATTCAAATTGGAAAATGGCTGCGCCCATGTCGATTAAAGTACATGATGCACTACACCTAAAGGAAGACGTGTATATCAGTGTTTATCCAAATGATTTGATGTAAATTGACATTGAGTTTCAAAATGATGTGGCAGAAAGACCATTGCTGTTTTTAACATAATTTTGAAATATAGATAACATTTTAAAAGTTTCATAACGCTTTTTGAAAATGACAAGTTTTGTCTCGGACTACTCCAACAAATTGATCTTGGCTCCCATGGTCAGGATTTCAACTCTTCCCATGAGACTGTTAGCATTGCGTTACGGAGCAGATATTGTTTACTGTGAGGTAACTATAATCGCGCAATTTCAATGTTACATCATTTTTTCACTTTAAAATGTATTAAGTTAGCTTTTCTTGTTTTTCTTGAGAAGTTTGAATTCATGTTGTTTAGGTACCAGGTCGTTTCGGTATTTCTGAAAGTCGTTTCGGTATTTCTGAAAGTCGTTTCGGTGTTTCTGAAAGTCGTTTCGGTACTTATGGAAAACACATTTTGGTACCAAGTTATAGTCAACGTCACCATTATTTCAATAATTTCTAAGTATAGCGGGACATATATATAACATGTATTAATAATAATTAATTAAGAATAATAATAATAATAAGAAAACACATAACAATAACAATAGGTATTTCCATCCAAAATGGAACGCCGTCACACTGAATACGCGTATCAGCCGAAGACATGATGAGTTTTTTGATAAATTTGATAGTGGAACCCTCATTTTTATGACAAGTTGGTGAATTCCCTCAACGTTGAGTTTCTCCTAAAGAGCTACTGATCCGATCTACTCAGCTGCTCAGTTAAACTACGAAAGCAAAAGTTATATAAACAACCAACAATAAATAACAAATGAGAAATATTTATTAACTAATAAAGGAAGTACCGAAACAACAATCAGAATTGTTGAAGTACCAAAACAACTTAAATACAAGTACCGAAGCGACTTACAAAAAGTACCGAAACATCTTCTTTTTGAAGTACCGAAACTACCAGGGACCGAAACGACCTACCCTGAGAAGTTTGAGTGTGAGTTTTTGCTTTAAAATTATTCCTTCATACAGGTTTTTACTTTTGCATTTGTCCTTTTTATTTTTCAGGAAGTGATTGATTTTAAAATACTTGCTACAACAAGATATGAAAACAGTAAGTAAGCTTGCTTCTCGTGCATATTACATACTGTAACAGGAAAGAAAATAGTGTGCTTCCACCGGGGATCGAACCCTCGATCTCCAGGTTCCTAGTCAGAAGCTCTACCAATGAGTTAAAGGAAAATTCCCTCTGGCTTGACACTAGAAGGCACCCTTAATCCTATGTACAATTAATGAGAAAGCTCACTGCATATTTCACCTAGTCTAGGTTCTTTTAAGAAGGCATACATGTAGAAGCGTTTATAGATGTGAGCATTTTATGGACCAATTTAGAAAGCTCACTCTATATTTTTACCTAGTCTGAGTCTTTTATGAAATAATATCTGTAGAAACTGTTTTAGATGTGATGAATAGTTTTATAGTTTAACTTGTAAGGATCTGCACATGTGATATTGTTGTTATATATTTATAATGTATATATGTAAGGCTCATAATATAATAGGAAAATGTATCAAAATACATTCTAAGTTAAATATTAGATATTTCACAATTGTAACACATGCATGCAAATCTTCAGGAAGACTTAATACTGTATATTAAAAGCAAAATGTTTTCTTCTGTGAAAAAATATCACAATAAAATATAAGTGTACGTAAACCGACTACACATACATGTATTTTTTAGGAGTTCCCCCCCCCCCACCCCTTGCATGTCTTGTGATGTCTCTCTCGGCCTTCATATGACCTATTAGCTGTTGCAAGGATGCCAAACCATGAACAAACAAAAGCAGTGGTACTCTTTACCTTAAAACTTCCTGGGTGAAAACTAAAAGGAGGTTATGTTAGGTGCCTTACTTGAGCCTTCTGTCATAAGAAAGATAAGCAAGTGAGGTTGTTTGATGTATCTAACAGCTTGTTTTACAGTTTAGTTGGTCATTACCATCACAAAAAGCATTTGAATGTCTGCGTTTATTTTTTCATTATTAATGTTTTAATTTGGATGTATAACACCTTTTCACTGCAGAAATACTTGGCACAGTTGAATACATCTCCTCTGATGAAACAGTTGTATTCAGAACCTGTCCAGAAGAAAAGGGAAAAGTGGTTTTTCAAATGGCAAGTGTTACAAAACGTTGTCTTTGCTGCTCGCAAACCTTCACAACTTTTAACCTTAGTCATATCAAAGAAACATTCACACTAACAGCCTTTTTTGTGGGTTTAATCTGAATATTAAACTTGTTTTTGATATTGTTAGAGAAAAATTTAGCATATTTTCCAGATTTTTCCAGAGTCATCCTAGGAAAATAACAAAAGTACATTTGAAAAAGAAATCCTTGTTTATTCTAGCTATAAATAGTATAATTAGTTAAATTATATTTTCATATTTTATTAATCAGAAGTTCATTATACACATATTTTACCCCAAGACAACTCAGTGATTGAAGTAAAGAGAGTTATGAATTGTGAAAACTGTTTATAACTTTTTTAACAATCTCAAAAACTGAGTATAGACTAACATAGTCCTATCTCCTTGAGAGTAAAATAGGAGATTTCAACCTGCGGGGAAGATTCTTAATATGTCAAACATGAGGCCGCTTAAATCCCAAACATGGATCAATACTGTATAACCTTACCTCTCAGCATATTGGACATTTATTTCTGTTACAAGTTCCTTCTAAGTAAAGTTAAAGAGAGAAACAGGAATATTTGTTTACCTTCTATCCATCCCCGGAATCATTATTAATAATTTTTGGGAAAATGTTCTGTCACCTTGATCTCATACAACGGCAATAGGGTTTTAGACCTATGTATGATAATAACCAGGAAGTAATATTAACACAATGGTTCTGTACTGAATAAAGAAATTTGTAAAGAAAATTTAAACCTATGTAAGGACTGTGTTCTGTATGTTCCTAAGATATGTGTATTAATAATTATATACATGTTTATCTTTCCTTTTGATCCTTTTTCATTTGAAAATAATTTTCAGAGTTGAAGGAAATAAGGTATCAATAAATAAAGCCTGATAAATATTTTGAGAGTCAACACTATATGAGATAACCCACTAAGAGTGTAATATTCTATTGATTCCCAGACATCTATGTGCTTGTGAATCATTCTATTATCCCTTTGTTACAGGGGACATCTGATGCACAAAGAGCCCTAAAGGCAGCCAAAAAAGTGTAAGTATTGAACTGTCACTTCTTCACCGTATTTGATACAAGTTAGACCAAAAATATCTTCTAAGCAAATTTAAAGGGGGCTTTATAGCATAATTGTTAAGTGTTAGCCTATAGCTAATGACCAAAGGGTCACAGGTATGAATTCTGCAGCCAGCAATGGTCATGTTCTTAAAAATGTTATGTTGGAAAAATACAGAGTCTTGTCTTAACTACTGTCAAATAAGGTAAATCTCAATACTTGGTTATAATAATTCCTATATATAGATATGTTAGTGTTGTGTTATCTTTCTCATTTTTTCATTGGTTTTTCTGTATATATGTAAGAAACAACATGTTTCAAATTCACAGTGTTAAATGCTTTATGGTTCATTTCAAGAGGGCATCCAGTTTAAAATGCGTCAAAGTTTCTGGTTAACACATGCTAACAAATTATCTTAATTATTATATAAAGTCAAACTACTAAATTGTAAATTTCTTTTTATAAAAAGTCTCTACAGAAAAAATGATAATGAATGTTTATGAGCAAACACTGAGTACCAAAATATTAAGGAAAACAGTTTACAAATGGTCTGTGATAAACTTGAGTCTGCTGTCTTGGTATCTGATACAATGTATAATGTATCAGTGTCTTGTTGGTATAAAGATCATCATAGTGATACTCTCTAAGTCATTACACTTTTTTTCCAGAGAAAATGATGTGTCTGCTATAGACATCAACATGGGCTGTCCTAAAGAATTCTCCATCAAGGTAAAATTAGTTAGGGATACAGCCAGTCTATATAAAGACTGTCAGAGGTAGAGATCACAACAATGTAATAGACATGTTGTTATCAATTAAAACATAATCACATAGATGGTGTTTATTGACAGGTTTTCAATTTCTATGACAATTTTATTTTACAATTTTATTTTACAATTTTACAATATGAATTATTTGTGATCTCCATTATTTTCAGTCTGTCATATGTCAGAGATATTTGTTGATCTCCATTATTTTCAGTCTGTCATATGTCAGAGATATTTGTAGATCTACCACATGTTCACACTACAGGTGTAACAGTGACGGGTGTACTATAGGATTTATTTTCAGTCTGTCATATGTCAGAGATATTTATAGATCTCCGACATGTTCACACCACAGGTGTAACAGTGACAGGTGTACTGTAGGTTTTATTTTCAGTCTGTCATATGTCAGAGATATTTGTAGATCTCCGACATGTTCACACTACAGGTATAACAGTGACAGGTGTACTATAGGTTTCACGGTAATGTAAATACTTGTTCATTATGTGAAATAACTCCAAAGACATGACTTTTTTGAGTTCAAAAAGGTAGGTGTGACTTTCTGTTGAAGACAAGAGATTTTTAGTCAAGATGGCAACATCTTTGATTTTAAAGGTGGCTAGAGAACATAAGTGCTTATAAATATTCATAACACTTCTCATTAATGTGATAAATATGATGTTCCTTTTCACATGATATGTATCAATCTTATTTACCATGTTTACTTTTTAGCATGGTAGAACTCCATTAAAATGAAAACCATAAAATGGAAGTGCATTTAAGATCCATAGCTGCTGGTAGACTACTGACCATGTGATTGTTTTCTAGGGAGGGATGGGTGCTGCCTTACTCACAAAACCTGACAAGGTGAAGGATGTAAGTATGAGAGATTAAAGATACAATACTGTTTTCCTCCACTTAAATTTATTCTTATCTATTTGAACCAATTTTCATGTAATAATATTATCGCACAAAGGATTGAATCACACAACTAAAAACAATTCAAATTGTTGTGGAACTGATGCTTCCAGTCAACGAGAACTGTCATGTGAATGAGGCCCAGGATATGGATCTTAATTTCTTGACAAGTTTTTAAATTTTAATCATATGTACCATGCCAGCTTCATTTAGAATCCACAATGTTGTATATTAATTTATTTAAAAGAGTTTCATGACCAGTAACATATTGACAGCTCACTGATATACTTGCTGTATTTTCAGCTCCTGACAACACTTGTTAACGGGCTCTCTATACCAGTAATATATTGACAGCTCACTGATATACTTGCTGTATTTTCAGCTCCTGACAACACTTGTTAACGGGCTCTCTATAACAGTAACATATTGACAGCTCACTGATATAATTGCTGTATTTTCAGATCCTGACAGCACTTGTTAACGGGCTCTCTATAACAGTAACATATTGACAGCTCACTGAAATATTTGCTGTATTTTCAGATACTGACAACACTTGTTAACGGGCTCTCTATACCAGTAAAATATTGACAGCTCACTGATATACTTGCTGTATTTTCAGATCCTGACAGCACTTGTTAACGGGCTCTCTATAACAGTAACATATTGACAGCTCACTGATATACTTGCTGTATTTTCAGCTCCTGACAACACTTGTTAACGGGCTCTCTATACCAGTAACATATTAACAGCTCACTGATATACTTGCTGTATTTTCAGATCCTGACAGCACTTGTTAACGGGCTCTCTATACCAGTAAAATATTGACAGCTCACTGATATACTTGCTGTATTTTCAGCTCCTGACAACACTTGTTAACGGGCTCTCTATAACAGTAACATATTGACAGCTCACTGATATAATTGCTGTATTTTCAGATCCTGACAACACTTGTTAACGGGCTCTCTATACCAGTAACCTGTAAAATCCGACTGTTACCAAAGGTAGGTTCAGTTACCTGATATGGGGATGGCATCATAATGAGCAATGCAAATGCAGCTCATTAAGTTGCTTCTGAGGGGTATTTCTTCATTCCTCGACCTACAATGATGTACTTTGAGTATTCAATACAAAACAGATGTTCAATATTTGCCTTGGAGCCGGTTTCTCTGCTAAAAATAAATTAATTTTGGCTATGTTGTCACATTATTGTAACAGTAAAGGAGATCTTCATTAATTTGGACCCTCTGCAAATGTGGCAATGTTGAGTCATAAACAACACAAACTATTTCTGTAAGCAATGCTGCTCCGAGTACCTTTGCAGGTCTGTGTTCTATCTGTTGGCAGCTAGAGGACACCCTAGCTCTGGTGAAGATGATTGAGGGCACTGGTGTGGCAGCCATCGCCGTACACGGGCGATTAAAGGAGGAGAGACCCCGCCACAAAAACCGCAACCACATCATCAAAATAATCGCAGAGAGTGTCAACATTCCTGTCATAGCCAAGTAAGGGAACATTTCAGTTATAGCAAAGACGGTCAGTGTTTCTGTTATAGCCAACTGGGTCAACATTCCTGTCATAGCCAAGTAAGGGAACATTTCAGTTATAGCCAAGTAAGGGAACATTTCAGTTATAGCCAAGTAGGTCAGTGTTGTCAGAGCCAAATATTAAAGTAAGCTTTCCTGTTATAGGCAATTAGCTAAATAAGTCCAGCTCCACTCAAGGTTAAGTAGATATAGGTTGACACTCCATCCATAGCCCAGTAAGTCAACACCTACTGGTAGTCATGCTCATGACGGTTTGTCATTTCCATCTTTCTAAATATGTGAAAAGTTCAGTCATAGCTAAGTAGGTCAATGGTGCAGTCATGATGAAATAGATCAACAGTGTGACTTGTCTTGGACAAATAGTCTTTGTAGAGTGTAATTTATATCATAGATAATTTGATGATCTCTGTAGACACAAAAATATATCCATTTATGTTTTCATTTGGAAAAATAGATATACCGGTAATCATCATAAGTTTGTTTATTATGGAGGGATATATAACTTGGAATTAAAAAATGTTGGGAAAATACTTATCTCAGGCTGAAACAGTGTTTTTCAATTATTTTTCCGACATTTATTCCACCCCCTTTATATATTCTATCTGAACATTTGTTGATTATTTGATAAATAATCCCACTCCTGATGTGTATATAAGGATGAATATAAAAAAGTAAACATTAATTGCACAAATTCTTTTTTTCTTTTTGCATCAGTGGGGGATCCAAAGAGATGCGTACTTACGATGCCATAGCCACCTTTCTACAGGAGACAGGATGTACGTCGACCATGATAGCACGTCAGGCGGAGTGGAACCCCACCATCTTCAGGAAGGAAGGCAAGCTGCCCCTGTTAGATGTGTGTAAGGAATATGTCACAGTGGTGAGTTATATATAGGTTATGATTTAGAGTTATCTCCACTTAGTATGAACATGCCTCAGACAACAGTTATTGCTTCCGATTCATTGTACAGGAATGTAGTGTATTCATCCATTTTAGGCTTGTTCTTAATGAGGTTTTATTCCTTTCATGTGAATAGAATTAAAGTATATGTCATACCAAAATGAAGCATGATCTTTTCCCCCTTATATTAACGTAGTCGATTAAATTTGTGTAAAATTGATTTTGGCAGAAGGATATGGTAAGTTGTTGGGCCCCTGAGCATGAATCTCGGGGTCTATTCATGGTACAACGGGATTATGTTTACACAATTCAAATTATCTTTAAAAAACACCAGTCATGAATAGTTTTCCAGCTCACCACAAATGTGTCTTTGATAGCTGAACAAAATTAATGAAGGTCAGGTCTCGAGCAAAACGACATAACATTGTTTAAAGGGTTTTGCTTTGGTAAGAACATATATGGAAATTAATTGTGGTCTGAGGCCTGCATTACTGCCTCAGCCTAACCTTTTTTCTGTTATAAACTCTCCTGTTTATCTATGACCTATAAAATTTCAAATTTCAAATTTAAGAAATGTTGGAGTTGGAGCAAAATTCATTTTTACACTGTCCAAATCAAGTTTTGATAATGTGAACAGAAATGTTGTTAAAAGATGCTTGAATAAAATCTAATTCCTTGCATTAATAAAAATATCATTGCAAATTTTAATGATTTGAAAGTTATAGCGGTGCTAAAGTGTTTTTATTGAGGAAAGAGGCCAGAACCAAATTAATTAAAACCTGATAATCTTCAAAACTTTATTTTTTTATTTTTAAAAGCTTAAAGTTCAAAACCGAAATTACGTTTATGGGTTTTCCTGTCAGTGCATGATAGGTCCAGGTTTATGGTTTACCAGTAACTGGTTTGCCTGTTGTTTGTGTCGTAGGCCCTGGTTTCCCCAGTATATTACTTGTGTATCTGTCATTTGTGTATTGTATACTCTTGTTTGTGTGTGTATTACTACTCTAGCTTACCTGTTGGTTGTGTGTCAGTCCCTGGTTTCTGTGTGTATTACTGGCTTGCCTGTTTGTTGTGTGTCAGTCCCTGGTTTCTGTGTGTATTACTGGCATACCTGTTTGTTGTGTGTCAGTCCCTGGTTCTGTGTGTATAACTGACTTGCCGTCTGTGTGATGTAGCCTCTGATTACCTTGTGTGTATCTGAGTGGTCTGTTCTGTGGTTTGTGTGTCAGTCCATGGTTCTGTCTGTATAACTGTCTTGCCCCCTGTGTGCTGTAGCCTCTGATTTCCTTGTGTGTATCTGAGTGAGCTGTACTGTGGTTTGTGTGTCAGCCCCTGGTTCTGTGTGTATAACTGACTTGCCGTCTGTGTGATGTAGCCTCTGATTACCTTGTGTGTATCTGAGTGATCTGTACAATGGTTTGTGTGTCAGTCCCTGGTTCTGTGTGTATAGTTGACTTGCCTCCTGTGTGATGTAGCCTCTGATTACCTTGTGTGTATCTGAGGGATCTGTACTGTGGTTTGTGTGTCAGTCCCTGGTTCTGAGTGTCTACCTGACTTGCCTCCTGTGTGATGTAGCCTCTGATTGCCTTGTGTGTATCTGAGTGGTCTGTACAGTGGTTTGTGTGTCAGTCCCTGGTTCTGAGTGTCTACCTGACTTGCCTCCTGTGTGATGTAGCCTCTGGTTACCTTGTGTGTATCTGAGAGGTCTGTACAGTGGTTTGTGGGTTAGTCCCTGGTTCTGTGTGTATAACTGACTGGCCTCCTGTGTGATGTAGCCTCTGATTGCCTTGTGTGTATCTGAGTGGTCTGTACTCTGGTTTGTGTGTCAGTCCCTGGTTCTGAGTGTCTACCTGACTTGCCTCCTGTGTGATGTAGCCTCTGATTTCCTTGTGTGTATCTGAGTGATCTGTACTGTGGTTTGTGTGTCAGTCCATGGTTCTGTGTGTATAACTGGTTTGCCTCCTGTGTGATGTAGCCTCTGATTACCTTGTGTATATCTGAGTGGCCTGTACTGTGGTTTGTGTGTCAGTCCATGGTTCTGTGTGTATAACTGACTTGCCTCCTGTGTGATGTAGCCTCTGATTACCTTGTGTGGTTCTGAGTGGTCTGTACTGTGTTTTGTGTGTCAGTCCCTGGTTCTGTGTGTATAACTGACTTGCCGTCTGTGTTATGTAGCCTCTGATTACCTTGTGTGTATATGAGTGGTCTTTACAGTGGTTTGCGTGTTGTAGGCCCTGCAGTACAACAATGTCCACACAAACATCAAGTACTGTGTACTCAACATGATGCATGAGGACATGGACCTGGAGGAAGGGCAAAGGATGCTGGCAACAGCATCTCAGGAGGATATCAGGTAAGGGACAGTGTCAAAGGTCAAATACACACTATATCACCCAAGTGAAGGGGTTGTCTCAAAGGTCAGTATGGATGCCATTAGGTAGGGGCTGTCTCAGGGGTTAATACAAAAACCATATGTTCAATTCAAGCACTAAGGTAGGGATTGTCTCCAACAGACACTGTTAAGATGTAGATAGGGGGTTGGTCTATAGGTCAATAGAGACACTCATTAGGTAGTTGTCAGAGGGCTGTCTCAAGGTCAATACAACGGAGAAGTGATTTTATATCATTGTATAAAGCATATTTGATATCCCATTATTAAACCAAGAATTGTATGTATAGATCCGGCAATCGAACCCCGGCGCCTTGGTGAAAGGCAAGTGCGCTATCCACTGCACCACCCGACCACCCCATATGTATCCTTCATGCTTTCCAGGACAAGACCCTTTTCAAGTAAACTTAATTCAGGTTTTTACTTTTGGTAAGGTCATTGGGGTCAGTGGAGAAATTCCTTCTGTATGTAATTAGTAAATATTGTCACTCATTTTAGAATTGTTTAATGTTTTTGTCAGTGACATTTGGGGCCTCAGACAATACTTCCAGGATTTGAAGGCGTCTTGGAAGAAGAAGGAAATGGAACTCTTCAATACCAAGATAGAGATAACAGTCACGAATACACAAGATGGTGCTGTTGAATCTGTTGAAATGCCAGTTCGTTACCTTAAGTAAGTTGTAAAATAAAAAAAGGTTTAAATCTTTCGTATTATGTGAAAAAGATATTTTTATCACATTTTCTAAAGCCCAAATAAGTTAATATTTCTTGGAACTATTTCCCAATCTATAGGCAAGGCAGATCTTCCTTGATTGTTTTAATTTTTCAATCCTATAATAGCAAGCAGGAATTTGATCAATTGCGTGAATTTTGTTAAATGGAGTTTGGATTATTTTTAGCACACGTAGATCAGTTAAAGTGACAGGTTATTTTTCATTGCTGTGAATTCGCGATTAAAAAATATGAAATTTGTAAAAAGAACCACTTTTGTCAAACCCATAATGCATTTCCTTGATGATGTCATGTAGGAAGGATTATCCATTGGGGATCAGTGCCAAACAAAGGGTGTTTGAGTGGACTAGGCGGAAGAAATTACCACGTCCAGATTACAAAACTGTAAGTTCTGAATTAAAACTAAAATGAGAATACAAAAGTTGACATGTACATGTGAAAAAAGAGAAGACAATTGTCTGAAGATATTAAGGAAAAATGGAGTTTGAATTACCTGTGATGTCTTATTTTGGATAGTAGATTATGTAGAAGCAAATGTTTAATATGAACCCCTGCTATAAGTTCTGATCTGTTGTCTAGGTGGAGAGAGAAGGAGATCGCTACTTCATGAGTGTGGTGACCCTAGGAAGCATCAAGTACAAAAGCTCTTTCTGGTAATACATTTTTTCATATTTGAGAATTACTTAACAAGAGTCACTATTACCTAAAAAAATTGCTAAAACCCTTCATTTCACCATTATGGTAAAGTGAAGGGTCCCTGCCCCACCCTAAATTTCTCTACCCCAGACTTTATTTTTTGTGATTTTCATATTCAGGACATCAAATTATGTAATCTAAACCAGATTTGATCTAAAAATGTCAAATAGAAAAAAAATGCTAAAACCCTTCTTTTCACCATTATTGTAAAGTGAAGCGCCCTTGCCCCACCCTAAATTTCTCTACCCCAGACATAATTTTTGTGATTTTCATATTCAGGACATCAAACTGATGTAAAGTAAAACAGGTTTGGTTTTAAAAAGGTCAAAAAGAAAACAAATGCCATAAACCCTTCATTTCACCATTATGGTAAAGTGAATCGGCCCTGCCCCACCCTAAATTTCTCTACCCAAGACTTAAGTTTTGTGATTTTCATATTCAACACATCAAACTTATGTAAAGTAAAACAGATTTGGTTTAAAAAAATCAAATAGAAAAAAAAATGCTAAAACCCTTCATTTTACCATTATGGTAAAGTGAAGCACCCCTGCCCCACCCTGATTTTCTCTACCCCAGACTTAATTTTTGTGATTTTCATATTCAGGACATCAAACTGATGTAATCTAAACCAGATTTGGTCTGAAAGAGTCAGATAAAAAAAATTACTAAAACCCTTTATTTCACCATTATGGTAAAGTGAATCGGCTCTGCCCCACCATAGATTTCTCTACCCCATGTAGCAGTATACAGTAGAGGGTTGTGGCCATGGGTGATATTTTTGTTAAATGGCTACCCCCTGTATAATGATATGTAAAAAAAATATAAAAATAAAACTACTAAAATTGGTATAAGCATGATGAAGTGGGCTATGTGAGCTTCACATTTGTAAAAAAGAAAGAAGATATTTTTGGTTCGAGAATAAAATTTTGGCCATAATCCGAAAGGGGGCGTACACATGAAAAGCTAGCTTTACAGGAGGTAAAATTTTGACAACAGCACACGGCGCAAAATTGCAAAAAATCAAGTTTTACAATTTTACTGCGACCCAGATAATTCTGCAACCAGGTAGGTAATCTTTAATTTCAGACAGAGCTTAGGAAAAAAATTACTACTTGCGGGGCTCAAATTTTGGGTTAAAAATAGCATTTTTTGGCATTTTTTGGTAATTTTTGATGTGGTAACCATGGTTTTCACATAAGTGACATACATAGAAAAAAGAGGTTTATTCACTTCTCAGTGCTTTATATCTATTGTAAATGTAATGCAGTTTACAAATATATATATACATGTATACATGTGTTGTGTAGGGTAAATCCGCTGTGTTTACATTTCCTCGACATGTGCCTTGTTTATCAGAGTCGGGCCATTTCTTCTGTATACTGCTACCCCAGACATAATTTCTGTGGTTTTCAGACACAATACATCAAGTTTAAGTAAACTTAAAGAGAATGAATTGAAAAAAGTGTGTCAGAATAGAAATCGATGGAACCCTTCATTTCACCATGGGGCGGGGCGGTTCGTATTACAATAATGGTAATATAAACTGCGGTTCATTTCACCATGCTTCACAATACCATGCTACACCGGCCCCATCATCACATACCATATCAGAAAGCGTGTTTATCACAGTAGCTGTGTTATTTGTTACATGGTTTGAGAGTTGTGAAACACACTTAAGTAATGGTATGAACAAAGAAATTCTGAACTTTACATAAATATCTTCTGTTAAATCAGAAACAGATAACTGTCAGCGTTATAAAATCAAAAACGAATAACTGTCAGAGTTATACAACTAGTGTGTGATAGTCATAGGAACTGTCATGTAGCCAACAGTAAGATTTAATGACCATCACTTGCTGTGTTATTTATGCTGCCTTTTTGATAAACTATAAGGTATAATACATTGATTTACACCTTTTTATAGCTCACTTGGCCCAATCTTCAAATGACTTCTTTTGAAAAACCAAAAGGCCCAAGGTACTGATATTGGGCCTGTAGCATGCTGGGATGAAGGGCTACCAAGTTTATTCAAATGAATGACCTTGACCCACTTTCAAGGTCACAGGAGTCAAATGTTGTAAAATCTTCAAACCACTTCTCAATAACCAAAAGGCCCAGGGTACTGATATTGGGCTTGTAGCATGCTGGGATGAAGGACTACCAAGTTTGTTCAAATGAACGACCTTGACCCACTTTCAACCTAATGTCCTTGTTCGACATTCAAGGTCACAGGCGTCATATGTTTAAATCTTTTAATAGGTTCTTAATAGAATCAAACACTGATATTCTGCCTGTAGCTGTATTTTAGTCCAATTTTAAGATTAGACTAAAATAGCAGGCCTATTGGGCCTCTTGTTAGCTCACCTGCTCCGAAGGACCATAGTGAGCTTATGCCGTGGTGCAGCATCCGTAGTTTGTCTGTCATCAACTTTTTCTTTAGGTAGCAGTGTACAGTAGAGGGTTGTGGCCATGGGTGATATTTTTTGTTAAATGGTTAACCCCTGTATAATGATATGTAAAAAAAATATAAAAATAAAACTACTAAAATTGGTATAAGCATGATGAAGTGGGCTATGTGAGCTTCACATTTAAAAAAAAAAAAAAANGGTAATCTTTAATTTCAGACAGAGCTTAGGAAAAAAATTACTACTTGCGGGGGTCAAATTTTGGGTTAAAAATAGCATTTTTTGGCATTTTTTGGTAATTTTTGATGTGGTAACCATGGTTTTCACACAAGTGACATACATAGAAAAAAGAGGTTTATACACTTCTCAGTGCTTTATATGTATTGTAAATGTAATGCAGTTTACAAATATATATACATGTATACATGTGTTGTGTAGGGTAAAACCGCTGTGTTTACATTTCCTCGACATGTGCCTTGTTTATCAGAGTCGGGCCATTTCTACTGTATTCTGCTACCATATACACATAGAACTTGATTTTTTCTGAAAAAATCCCTTTTTATGCTTGATTCAGCTTCACTTTCATTCATTAATACTTAAAACTACTCAAAAACGCCAAAAAACCCGTTACATAGATAGGTCTATATATAGGTCATTAGCCTGTTACCTGTGGATGTATAAAGAGAGGTAACTCGCGCTTTCACAGGCACTTGTGAAATTCTGCAATTCATCACATATGTGTCAATTATGTTATTGGTAAAGTTGATACCAAACATCAAATAGTTCACAGGCTATCTCCTGATGCATTCATACTAGATTTCAGTCTGTTTCACTCAGTTCAGCACCCGGTAGCCATGGTTACTAATACATAAAGTTGTATTTATTGAAAATGGGTAAAAATGGGTAAAATATCTGTTTTCATTTTAATTACACTATTTTAGATGTTTTTTTCCACTTGATTCAGCATACAGATGAAATAAGCAAAGTCAGTAATGTCAATAAATTTTATTTCCATAATTACAGCTGAAGAAAATCTTTTTTTTCTAGCGAAATATGTTAAATGAACAATTTCTGAGGGTCACTGTCAATTCTAGGCGAGGAAAGTAAATAACGGTTGCTATGGTGGCACTTGTCTGATTTCTCAGAATATCTTACATTTCTGTGCTGTTCATCGGTTACGGGAAGTGTGTCTGTTGCTAGTTTGTTGTTGAGATGGGTTTCCTAGTGTTCAATATTTTGATATCAGTGATCCTCGATGATGTCATAGATGCCCATTGATGACGTCATAGTTATGATGACATCACAGTTACTATGACGTCATCAAACAAGACAGTAACATCATAGTATCACTGTACTGTTTGTTTTCTACATGCACATGATCTCAAGGCATCATATTTCACCCAAAAAGAAATTTTATTCATGAAAACTACAAACCTATTCAAGTTTTCATTTTTCAGATTACCTCCCTTTGTTGGTAGTTTGAGAGCAGAATTGGTAAATACACTTTTCAGGAGAATTCATATTACTCGGTCACTATTAAAGTGAGAAAGGAAACGGATACATCATTGTGTTCATTGTCGCATTTTCCAGACATTTAAAAGGTTTTGATTAAATTTTGGGGAAAAAAAAGTGATGTATAAGGTAGCAGAGTACAGTAGAGGGTTGTGGCCATGGGTGATATTTTTGTTAAATGGCTAACCCCTGTATAATGATATGTAAAAAAAATATAAAAATAAAACTGTACTAAAATTGGTATAAGCATGATGAAGTGGGCTATGTGAGCTTCACATTTGTAAAAAAGAAAGAAGATTTCTTTGGTTCGAGAATAAAATTTTGGCCATAATACGAAAGGGTGCGTACACATGAAAAGCTAGCTTTACAGGAGGTAAAATTTTGACAACAGCACACGACGCAAAATTGCAAAAAATCAAGTTCTACAATTTTACTGCGACCCAGATAATTCTGCAACCAGGTAGGTAATCTTTAATTTCAGACAGAGCTTAGGAAAAAAATTACTACTTGCGGGGGTCAAATTTTGGGTTAAAAATAGCATTTTTTGGCATTTTTTGGTAATTTTTGATGTGGTAACCATGGTTTTCACATAAGTGACATACATAGAAAAAAGAGGTTTATACACTTCTCAGTGCTTTATATCTATTGTAAATGTAATGCAGTTTACAAATATATATACATGTATACATGTGTTGTGTAGGGTAAACCCGCTGTGTTTACATTTCCTCAACATGTGCCTTGTTTATCAGAGTCGGGCCATTTCTACTGTATTCTGCTACCATACCCTGGCCTCCGTCGTCCGTCATCTGTACGTCATCAATTTCTTTGAACGACTTCTTCTTCTTAACCATTGATTGGAATTTGACTTAATTTGACTGGAAGTATCCCTAGGTAGTGAGGATTCAAAATTGTACAAATGGTGGGACTGACCCCCCCCAGGGGGCTGAGGGACAGGGCCAAAAGGGGGCAATTTGGCTATATATTACTTTAAGCGACCTCTTCTCCGGAACTAAAAGATGGATATCAACCATATTTGACTGGAAGCATCCCCTAGGTGGTGAGGATTCAAAATTGTACAAATGGTGGAACTGACTTCCCAGGGGACTGAGGGGTGGGGCCAAAAGGGGGCAATTTGGCTATATATTACTTTAAGCGACCTCTTCTCCGGAACTATGAGATGGATAACAACCATATTTTACTGGAAGCATCCCTAGGTTGTGGGAAATCAAAATTTGACAAATGGTAGGGTTGACTCCCCCAGGGGGCTGAGGCGCGGGGCCTAAAGGGGGCAATTTGACTATATTGCTATAAGCGACTTCTTCTCTGGAACTAATAGATGGATATCAACCATATTTGACTTGAAGCATCCCTAGGTGGTGGTGGTTCAAAATTGTACAAATGGTGGGGCTGCCCCCCCCCCCTGGGGGCTGAGGGGTGGGGCCAAAAGGGGGCAATTTGTCTATATTGCTTTAAATATCGATCATATTTGGTAGGAAGCATTCAGCATTCATGGGAGGCAGGGATTGAAAATTTTACAAATGGTGGGGCTGACCCCCCTCGGGCTCAGTGGTGGAGCCAAAAATAGTTTATTACTTGGGAATGGTCGAGATACCGACCGTTTAACCATATATACAATTGCTGAGTATAAATAGAAGAAAGCACATTTGCTTCCAGGATGGCCCTATGGTCTGGCCCCATCCTTGGAGACATAGTCCTTGGGTCATAACTTTGAAACGGTTAAGATTCCCACCCCAAAACTATATATACAAATGCTGGGCATAAAGAGGAATGCAGTCATGATATTAGAATAGACCTTGGGGTCTAACCGAACCCCTAGGGACCTAGTTTCTTAGTCACAGCTTGGAAACAGTTGAGATCCCTACCCTATAACCATATATACAATTGATGAGTACAAAGAGATGCACATATGCTTCCAGGATGGCCTTAGGGTCTGCCCCACCCTTGGAGACTTAAACCCTGGGTCATAACTTCAAAACGGTTGAGATCCCCACCCCAAAACTATAAATACAAATGTTGGGCATAAAGAGATTAATGCAGTTATGATATTAGAATTTATCCTAGGGTCTGCCCAACCTTTGCAGACTTAGCTCCTGGGTCATAACTTTGAAACGGTTGAGATCCCCAACCCAAAACTATGAATACAAATGCTGGGCAAAGAGAGACGAATGCAGTTATGATATTAGAATTGATCCTGAGGTCTGGCCACAACCCTATGGACCTAGTTTCTGAGTCACAGCTTGGAAACAGTTGAGATCCCCACCCCATAACCATACATAAATTGCTGGGCATGAACAATCTAATACAGATATCAAAAAGAATTGGCTTTGGGGTCTGGCATATTCCCTTGGATCTCAATTGGAGAATATTTTGCCATGATTGCTTGGAGATCCAGGTGAGCGATACGAGCCCTCTGGGCCTCTTGTCATTGCTCTAGCACATTCATTTCCAAACGGAATTATAGCAATTTGTTTTACAAAGGTCAAGTTAAGAATACTTCAAATGATGTTACATTTTAGGGCTCCCAAAGTCAAGGTCTCTGTTACTATTGATAGAAATTTGTCAAACAATGACACTTATCGCCCAACCCATCTGTCCAGGGGTATTATAGAGCCTATGGTTTACAGTTCTAGCTCATTTAGAAGCTTTTAATTCATAACAATCAAAGCTTTGATAATAATGCTTAAAACATCGAGGATCAGTTGGCGCCTTAAGGGTTGAGTGCTAGGTCTGCAAATGATATGCATACCTCGCCAGTACGATGCTTACAATACAATATGTCATGGACTTCAATAGTGCATATTATCGAAAAAATATTTTTGTATATTTTCTAGTACTTTTGGGTATGACTGCATAGTGGACTGCATAGTGAACCACATCTTTGCTGAAAAAATGTATTGATAATTTAAGTACTGTTAGTGTATCGTGATACAGGCAAACAAAAGAGTTTGATGCGATACACAAGAAAGTATCGTGATACGATACAATATGATAGATTGTTGCAGCCCTGTAAGGCTATTGAGTACACATTTCATTAAATGTTACATTTATACATATTGTATATATAATACATGTACACTACTTTTATTTCCACAGGGAAAAGTCTAAAAGTATCGCAGAACAGAACGCTGCAATCGTGGCATCAATAGTGTTAGATATCGATGACGGTCGTAAACCAGGATCCTCCGAAATGACGGAAGCAGTTGTTGCCAAGTGGAGAGAACTCTATCGAGTGAAAATTTCATGGGATAATATCTCACAGAAAAAAAATGAATCTTCTTCTTCTCTTTGTGACCAAAACCATAGAGTGAGTGAAGATATTCTTGGATGCAAGATTTATGTATTACAGAGGAAACACAAGATTTCAGAAACTGACAATGTGACAGATTTGAATGGGATAGGAAGTAAAAGAAAATGTGATGATTTTGAGGAGGGTGGTGAACAGAACAGTCAGAATGATAATGAGGACAGCCAATCAGAACAGGTGTCTGATAATAAGAAAGAACCCGGTTAATTTTCTGAAAGAAATTAGGCTTGTGTCATTATTGTAACATGTTCATGGGGTCTAATTTAAAGGTTGTTGATTAATAATAAAAAACAGTACGATTATATTACTGTACACTGTAGTTTTAATAATTGATGATATTCTGTACCTGATGTTAAAACACAGTTGTGACATCATCCTTTGTAATCATTATACATTATGTAGTATAATATATGGGCCTCGATCAGGCTGTCCTCTCACAGAATAGACAGTGTTCGGCCATTCTCCTTTACATAAAGATATACTGTAACTCAGGGGCATAGCTAGGCCCATCGATATGTGTAAGCCCAGGAAATGACTTTTAAGATTTGACGAAGCATTGTTATCCGAGACAGTTATTTAGCGACATATTTTAGTGTCAAATGCGCTGAAATGTTATAAAGGTCTGTACTACGTTGTCCGTATTTATAGAAATTTCTCTGTGGACATGTAGCATTGCTAGCGGGGAAAGACGGTCTTGGTTTGTCTTGGTACTATTCATTAAAAACTATAAAGTGAAACCGACTTCCGCTAAACTCAAGTCATATATAGAATCAATTACTTTTCTCATCATGCTTTTAGACATTGCTTATCAGATGCCTTTTGAGTACGTTAATAAAAGCAGCTCATAAAATTTAATGAATTAGTCCCACCCCTCTCAAAACAGAAGGAGAAAAATATATAATTAAAAATTCTATAAGTTATATAGAGGTTCCCTTTTTCTCCCATAATGTTCATATTTTATCTGGAAATCCATATGTTTCCCTTGAAAGTACACTATGCATGCATCCGATGGTGGAAACAATTGCCGTGAATCATGACGTCAAAATGGAAGATGACGTTACAAAGCATTGTTACGTGACGTCATAAGTAAAAAATTGACCAATGAAATCACGTCCAGGGTGTTACTCACTAGTGGTTAACCAAAAATGTTTACCAACTCCTAGCATGTTTATCCAATGAATCAAGAGTGAGGAAATATATAGTGATTGTGGGAGAAAAGTATATAAATCCCGACCAATCTACCCTATTTTTTCAGTCATGCTACCAGAAGTTTGTTTTCTATCTAACCAGTCTAAATACCATGGCGGAGAAGGTCTGGGTCCCACTTTTTTTACAATAATGCTAATTCATATTTTCCTTTTGAGAATATATAAGAAGTCTTCCTCAGATCATCGACAATATCGTTAAACCCAAAACTGTCTTAACTACATTGAAGGAAATTAAAACGTGTCCAGGCCCTGTCACTGAGACGGTGTCATCAATAGATTGTGGACAGCTTGTTCTGAATTGATTTTTTGCTCAGATTTAAATCCCATGTCAATGTACAATAGTCCTTGCTGGAGTGTCTTTCTTGGATTTGGGGGGTCCAAGCACGTGCTTTGCTGTGTGCTGCTTGGGCCTGCGGATGGACTTGTTAGATTATCAGCAATATTTGCATGTACCAGGTTTTTAGTAACCGACGTCGTGGCAGGGATTGTGTCACCTTTTGAATCAGTATTACATGATTTTGGATTGAAGAAGGTATATATCTTCTTTGAAATATTGGAAGCCTTCTTCATTTTGAAAATTAACTTCTGTCAACATACTATAACACCAAAAATGTAGTATTATAAGTATTTAGTAAATAATTAATACAAAGGTCAATTAAGGTATTATCCTGATAACTTGGTATCATCTTTTGTTTTGTTTCATTGGCTACTTTTTTGACAAATGGCACACACTGATTTTTTATGTGTAAGCCTGGCTTTTCTTTTTTATGGACGCTACAGCACCCCTGCTGTTCTACAAAGTTTGAGTTAGATACAATATTGACATCGATAATTCACTACACAAGACATATGATTCAATGCTTTATTCAGCATCTTCATCTTGAATTTTCCAGTGCATTTAACATTGGTACATTAATTACATAGGCTTGTAAGGCAGACATACTAATAAACTTATATCCAGATGCTTTGGAATTTGCTGATGTTGGAATTTGTTGGAATTATAAGTGAATGATAAAACAAATGTCGAAGTGTCAAATTGACCTAGAATTTTTTTTACTACTGATTGGAAGAATCATCCATTTAATTTCCGGTGTACAACTTATGTCCTGTGTAAACCAGATGCCCAGTTACAGCCTTTTAGACAGATGTGTAGTAAAATAGGAAATGTTTGTAAAATATGTGTATTTCCTCACTGTGTTCTGGTGGATACGAAACTACTGGTTAACACAAAATCTAACTAAGAAATGGAGCTAAATGCAAAACAGCTGTCTACCTACAATGTCTCAGGACAGTTGTCAATTTACAATGTCTCAGGACAGTTGTCAATTTACAATGTCTCAGGACAGTTGTCAATTTACGATGTCTGAGAACAGCTGTTTTAATCTATCAGATAAGTTGACTGGCTACAACCTCACAAGAGTTGCTTTGGTAACAACCTCTCATGACAGTTGTCTTGGTTACAACCTCCCATGACCGTTGTGTTGGCACCAACCTCCCATGACAGTTGTCTTGGTTAAAACCTCACAACAATTGTGTTGGATACAGCCTGCTATAACAGTTGTCTTGGTTACAACCTCACAACAGTTGCGTTGGTAACAACCTCACAACAGTTGTGTTGGTAACAACCTCCTATAACAGTTGTCTTGGTTACAACCTCACAACAGTTGTCCTGGTTACAACCTCACAACAGTTGTGTTGGTAACAACCCCACAACAGTTGTGCTGGTGACAACCTCACAGCAGTTGTATTAGAAACAACCTCCTATGCCAGTTGCGTTGGTAACAACCCCACAACAGTTGCGTTGGTGACAACCTCACAACAGTTGTGTTGGTGACATCCTCACAACAGTTGTATTGGTAACAACCTCCTATGCCAGTTGCGTTGGTAACAACCTCACAACAGTTGTGTTGGTGACATCCTCCCATGGCAGTTGTCTTGATTGCAACCTCACAACAGTTGCGTTGGTAACAACATCCTATAACAGTTTTCTTGATCGCAACCTCACAACAGTTGTCTTGATTACAACGTCTAAGGACAGTTGTCTTGATTACAACATCTAAGGACAGTTGTCTTGATTACAACGTCTAAGGACAGTTGTCTGATTACACCGTCTAAGGACAGTTGTCTGATTCCAACGTCTAAGGACAGTTGTCTGATTATAACATCTAAGGACAGATGTCTGATTCCAACGTCTAAGGACAGTTGTCTGATTCCAACGTCTAAAGACAGTTGTCTGATTCCAACGTCTAAGGACAGTTGTCTGATTCCAACGTCTAAGGACAGATGTCTGATTACAACGTCTAAGGACAGTTGTCTGATTCCAACGTCCAAGGACAGTTGCCTGATTCCAACGTCTAAGGACAGTTGTCTGATTACAACGTCTAAGGACAGATGTCTGATTATAACGTCTAAGGACATTTGTCTTATTCCAACGTCTAAGGACATTTGTCTTATTCCAACGTCTAAGGACAGTTGTCTGATTACAACGACTAAGGACAGTTGTCTGATTCCAACGACTAAGGACAGTTGTCTGATTCCAACGTCTTAGGACAGTTGTCTTATTCCAACGTCCAAGGACAGTTGTCTGATTCCAACGTCTAGGGACAGTTGTCTGATTACAACGTCTAAGGACAGTTGTCTGATTATAACGTCCAAGGACAGTTGTCTGATT